TACGCCAGGCCTCAAACGCCGAGACTTTTACATTACGCACCGTTATTTATTTAATCGAGGATGATGATTTTCCGCATCTAACTTGGGCTCTATTCGACTCGTGTTACAAGAGAGCCTTGATATCAGAGCTTGATTCACAGCAGACTGTCTTACCTGTCATTAAGGTAGAACTTCTTCCGATCACCGGTGGCTGTTTTCGTCGATTGGCCTTAGGATGGACTAGTCGACAAGTAGAGAGTTCTGACCAAAGACTTCATCGTGTTTTTTCATGTACATGTTTTTTTGATGATAATTATATTAGCTTATGCAAGGAAATTTTTGATTTGGAATTACATTGGCATCGGAGAGAAATTATGAGTACTAAGGAGGTCTCTGCGGTCAAAGGCAACAAAATTCTTACATGCAAATAGTAGCTGGCAAAAAGTAAATATTAGATGGTAAAAATTCCTCCCAACAGGAAATTAACCAAGAATCTACTTGTAATCTCCCCACTAAGTTTTTTGAGAAGAGTATATTTGCAGCGCCATCACCTGGTGTCTTATAAGTCTGCTCTAATTAACTGCAAAAGAGGATTGCACTTCGATCCTATTACTTAGTCGGCCATCTGTGTTCCTCTGAGTCTACATAAATTCCTGTTCTGCAAAAGCTCTGATTGACACTAAATATTTCCCGTAAGTATCAGTGCTATTATCTCGAGCTAAATATTTCATTGACTAAAGTCACTGTCTGCGCTCGCTATACTAGTAGCTCCCTCTATAAGGCTATGAAACATAGCGATATCTGACAGTCCAAAAGTTTGCAGATCAGGTGATATTCATGCTGGAAACTAATCTCGCAAGTTCCATGTGCAGGGGTAACTATAGGGTTGACTAGAGCAAGTATTGACTGGAATACATCAGGGCTGGGCAAAGGGCGGGGTATACCCCGGGGTAACCTGGGGTAAACCCGACCGAAAAGCTATCCTGTTGAAGATCTATAGGGTAGAGTAATCACTTTATAAAATACTCCGAGTGCTACAATATCTAAGTCTAGTACTCTACTTTCGGACCACCCTTTTACATCAAAAATCGTGATTTTCAGCTATTTATAACTTCACAATCAATCGATAAAATTTGATAAAATTTGAATTACAGATTCATTATATATTTATTAATGGATTTCAAATTTTTTAGATTTTTTGTGATTTTATTGATTGAGAAATTAAAGGTTAAAATTACGATTTTCAATTTATATAGGATTTATACACAAATTTAAAACCCTTGAAAATTTTCAATAATTTTTGTTGAAAAGTTATTTAAGATTTTCGAATTCTTTAAATTTGTATATAAATCTTATATAAATTGAAAATCGTGATTTCAATCATTTATATCTCAATCTATAAAGTTATGAAAAATCTGAAGTTTTAAAATCAATTAATAATTTTATAATAAATCTATAATTAAAATTTCAATTGATTTAATTCATCAGTTGTTGAGATATTAATAAGTGAAAATTCTTACAAGTGTTGTGATCTAGATCATATAGAAGTGGTTTAGGTCCTTGAATGATTTATAACTAAATGTTAAATAGAGACTTAAAGTAATATCAATAGTTATAATATATAACTAATAATAAAGTATACTAAATGATTAATCTTGAATATAAAGTTTTATAAAAGGAATCTTTTTTAGCTATATAGTTCTTTATATTGTAAAAGTGATAGGTCGAGATACATGCGTCCCGATAGCACACTATAAAGAGGGAATTGGAAGAGAAAGCTGAATTAGATTACATTGTAATATGTCACTTATGGAGAAAACGGGGTTCACAATGGTTTTGGGGTTGGTGTTATATAGATTCAAATATATATATATAGAAGATTGATTATTATGAAAAGAAAAAACAAAAAACTCTTTTTTTATATCTAACTACAAAAGGTCATGTGATTGACTAGCTAAAACCTTTATGTATTTGGTCTATAATTCCAACTTTCTTATAGTATTTTATATTGTAAAAGTGATAAGTCGAGATATATATTGTAAAAGTGGTAGGTCGAGATACGTGCGTCCCGATAGCATGCTGTGAGGAGAGAATTGGAAGAGAAAGCTGAATTAGATTATATTATAATACGTTACTTATAGGTAAAACGGGGTTTACAATAGTTTTGGGATTGATGTTATATAGGTTCAAATGTATATATGTAGAAAGTTGATTATTATAAAAAGGAGAAGCAAAAAGCTTTTCTTTTATATCTAATTATAGAAGGTCATGTGATTGATTAGTTAAAACCTTTATGTATTTGGCCTATAATTCCAACTTTCTCACAATATACCTCGATAGTTGTAACGATCTGGTCGAGGCAGCGGCTGCCTGAGGTTTTGTATGATTGATAGTTGTAGGTTAAGGCTATTAATCTTAGATCAATTGGAATATAAATAAACTAATTGATAACTAAATTGAGTATGAAGTTTTTAAATTATAAAATTATTCTGATTATATACTAATGAATAAAAAGAAGCTTTGTAGAGTTCAAGAACTTCAAAAAACTTTTGGAGCTTTAGAAGCTTTCTAAGCTTTTAGGGCTTTTTATTATGTGATTGATCCTGAAACCTTTTCTTTTTTGAAATACTTATTCTAAGAGTTTTCTTTTAAGAATTATTGTTTTAGAATATAATATCTTTTAAAGTGATTGTTCTATTACAATCGATTAGCTAAGATATTTGTTTTATTCTAATATAATTATTTAGGATACTTATCCTAGGAATCCTGAATTCCTATTTGTAAATGATTAAGCCCCTTGAAAACAATAGTTAAATCATACCCCCTTGATAATCGGTATCTAAATCACCGATATCAATAATACTATTATAATCTAAACCGTGAATCGTGACACCTGAGAGTGTCTGTGAAAGATTCTTTAATTCAATCTATATAATCAATACTACTACTCCCACACCCATTAGGCCTTACTTGTTAATATAATTGAAATAATTAAACTTATAAAAAAGAAAATAAATAAAATAAAAATCTCTTTATAGTATAATCCGATATTTATAAACATTTATAGAAATGATTTATATAATTAAAAATAATCTTAATCTTAAATAATAATTATAAAATGATTATATAATATTTACTTTATAATATTTTAACATCTATTAATATTTCTGAATAACTATTCTGTAAAACCTTTACAGAGTAGATTAACTACTTTATAAAGACCAAATACCCCGAGTCGAGTATGGGTGCTCAGCCCTGGAATACATAGTTACGAGGCCAATTCTGAGCTTAATCATCATCGTTCTTAGAGAGCGTAGTCAGAAAATTTTCCAATGCATCGATGAGTAGGACACTCTAATGCCACATTTAAGCTAAAATATTGAAACGAAATTCGATTCAAGAAAAAATGACGAGCCAGCTTCCCTTTGAGAGGGCAATAGATAAAGCTTTACAATAGCTTTCGTCGGAAGGAGAAGAGAAAATGGATCTGAGGCTTTGCAAGTCTTGCTTTAATTATACATTTGGACTTCTCTGCATACTTACGCGCACGAATAGATGCTCTGGGTATACATTGGTAAAACCTGAAGAGGATTGTAAAGTTCTGGCAGCGGAATTGTTTTGACTTGTGTGCAATATTGCTAAAAATTGTGAGTTGCATTTGAATGCAAACGGTGCTAGTACGATTAGTACATTTGATGGACCCTAATTGACGGTATGTGAAAGGGGGCAGCTTGGGAGCCGAAAACGGCTACAAAAATTGCGAGCACCCCGTCAAGTCGAGTATCCGCAAAACCAAAATAAAAGTCTCAATACTAGACGCTGCATTGAATTTTTGCATATCTTCATTTTTTTCCAACATCTTGAATTAGACATAAGCATATCGGAAGAGCCAATTATGTTAGAGGGCAAGAGTGGGCTGCGCAACGGGTATCTGCGAAGCGGAATATTGTTCTAAATGAATAATCCGCGAATCCGAAAATAACCCGCTTGCGGAGCGGAGATAGGAAAATCCGAATGAATAATCTGTAGAGCGGATTATTGCAAATAGTCCAAACCGGACTATCCAAAATCTCAATTAATAATCCTCAAAGTGAGTGGGAGGTTTAATGGATTATTCATGGATTATTCATGGATACCCGCGGGTTGCGGATTATTCCTGTGCAGCCTAGCAAAGAAGCAGTGTTGTGGGTTTTCTGGCTGCGTTCTAAATTGCATCTAGTTATGCGATAACTAGTCTCTCTTATTTAGAGCTTTAAATAAGGTTGTAGGATCTTTCTCACCAATCACTCTTGGCCATCTTATCTACAGCTCTTTTAACCTTAATTAGAAGCGACTAAAGACGACGATAAGATCAAAACTAAGAGGCTGTCTGACGGCCGTGCTATGAGGGAGTAATTGTTCTGAATTCCAAGGGCATAAAGGGGGGGATGATAGGTGCCGGAGAAAGGATCGAGAAAGGCACAAAATGGTGGAGGGGCTGACTGCTTCGAAGCGGGATGGATATCAATAAATATACAGCCTCGCACCATGTATCGTTTTTCGCGAGTCATTAACAAGACGTGAATGAGAAATACATCTTCTTACACAAGAGCCCGCACCAGAGTTCGTTCCAGTTACCATCTCGTCTAAACCGCATATCAAGAGTCCGGGAAAGAGCGAAGAGCTAATTGAAGGATGCCGTGACAACATCTCCTGGTGCTCGTGCTGGGATAATGTTAGAAATCTGCATGAAATTTGCTGTTTCTATCGAGGGAGTAAATTAAATACTAGGGCAGAAAAAATTCCGAAAAGTGCTCCTGTTTTAATTGTCTACCTATTTTTGTATTTCTGTGACAAGACAAGAACTCTTTCACATATCTACCCAGTACGCAGGGACTAGACAGGGGTGGGTGATGGATGACCTAATAAGCGCAGCTGAATCATTACCAATCTAGCGCTCTACGACCCCACATTCTCCGTAATCAATCGGCTCCATTTGATACCTCGCCAAGAATGAGGCTAGGGACTCAACATATATATATCTCTAGCTCTACCTCCATTTATAACTACTAACACCTGCAACTCTAACTTTAGGGAACTCCTTTCTCTTCTCACTTCCTTCATACCTCATGCGCGTCTTTCGTCCAGCTACAACCCTACTAAACGCTGTCTGCCACCAATATACTAATATATTCCAACCCACCTGTGTTGCTCCCATCTCCTCATTATCCTCCCCAATTTCAAGCATGTCGGCCCCAACTTCGAATCCTGCTGCTCCTGTGATAGCTGTCTGCCACGGCGGTGGTCCTATGCCAATTCTGAATGATCCTGGCCATGCTGAGCTCATAAAATCCATGAGCACACGTGTTCCCGAAATACTTGGCATCTCGCCCGATTCTTCCAATTCGAATCCCCCAAAGGCTATTGTATTAATTACCGCGCATTGGGCTGAGACACGTCCTCATATAAGCAGTGCTGCGCACCACGATTTGTATTATGATTACTCTGGATTTCCAGCCGAAACATATAAATTGAAGTACCCCGCCCCCGGAAGTCCAGAAGTAGCAAAAGAGGTTTTTGAGTTGTTGGACGGGGCAGGATTGAAACCAGTGTTAGATGAGAAAAGAGGTTTGGTTTCTCGTCAAAATATCTTTGATTTATATAGCTGACCACAATCTTCGAAAAGGATGGGATCACGGCGTATTCGTTCCTCTCCTTATCATTTCTCCCGCGGCACAAATTCCCGTCGTCCAAGTCTCGGTCCTACAATCGAATTCCCCAGCCGCACACTATGCCATGGGCCAAGCTCTTGCACCTTTGCGGTCTCGCGGAATCGCCATTGTAGGTAGCGGCATGCCAACATTTCACAATCTCCGTCTCATGTTCTCTGGTGGCGCGGAAACTTCTTCATTCAAAGCACGCAATAAAGAATGGTCAGACCGCTTGACTGAAACATTAAAGGTTTCGGATGCTGAACAACGGGGTAAAAAACTAGAGGACTGGAGGAATTGGACTGGTGCTGATGAGGCGCATCCTGAGAGGGGTCAGGAGCACTTTTTGCCATTGATTGTATGCGCAGGAGCTGGGGGCAATGAATCAGGTAAGGGCTGGGCGGATAAAGTTATGGGTTCACCGCAATGGTCATATTATTGGGATTGAGGATTTATGATATAGCACTTTGATACATGGCGGAGTAATAGTTAGGCAAATTCCATATATTCCATATCATGTTCGTCATTCTTGGAGTTAATGATGGGTGTAATAAATTTACTCTAATTCCAACAATGTACCTTTAAATGAGAGCATCTGGCACCTGAAGGAACACCACAATATTCGTATAAATCAGGAACCCAAGTAAGATCAGGATATCTTCCACAGTTCGAAGCGTCAATTCTCCTTTCTTGTACGCTTTTTATCCACGTCAAAATCACTACCAAATAAACCTAGACACATGAACTCAGGATATATAGCATTATACCACTGAAACTTCCCAACCTACCAATATTAAGGGAAAACAATAGTGAAATGAGCGAGAAAAGAAAAGAAAAGAGAAAATGGCCAAGATCCGAAAAACCAAACCCGGAAGTAAAAAGCAGAAAGGGGTTGAGAGGGTTTTTAAACCTGGAAATAAAAAAGGAGGGTTAATGATGAGAATATACAAGGGGGGGATAGGACCGTTAATAGCCCATTGGAGCTTCTGATACGCAATGGTAATGGATTGCTAGACTAGCAAGAAACTAATATCTAAGATCTTATATCGATCATGATATCTTTGTCTTGAGTGTTTTGGAATGAAGGGAAGGGTTCATTCAAGATCTGGTGGCTTATATCTGTCAGCTAGTGATACTGCGTGACCTTTTAGGGGAGCAGGAGCAGGCGGAGAAAATAACCTGTTCGATTTTTATTTTTTTTGGCTAAATGTTTGCTTGTTCTGAAACATGAAGCGGGTTGCTCATTTGGGTTACTCGTACTCGTGTCCACGGTTTGGATTTCAAATACCATTTTACTTTGGGGTAGTCGCATACTTGGTAAGTTGATTCAAAAGTCTATGCTGGTGAGGATAAGGACCGCCAGTGTCGAGCTTAATCATGTCCCGCTTTAAGTCCTAGATAGCAAACATGTCTAAGAAGATTTGGTGTTGTGTATGATAACTCTCGAGTGAAGTTCGAGCTTCTGGCGTGGAGTTGGGATTGTGTTTGTCCTAGATAGTATAATAGGTATGGGAGTTGTTGTACTAATCACAAGGAAGATTATGTCGATTTCGCAAAAGTAAGTCTTACGTTGTGGATTCTTGGGTGCGGTAAGACTAGTAATAACGATGTTTCAGTCATTCGTTGAAAGCAAGCCCAGTATGGTGCCACGAATAGAGTTTTCACGGAATGTATCGGAGCTCTTGCGTACTTTTGATACGGAAGGTTGAGATGAATAGCGGATCTAGAATTCGAGGACCTTTTTTGGTGTTTGAATAGATGAGGTTGAAGCTACATATATCAACATGGGATCTGATGTAGAACTTTATGCTTGGGAAGTGATGAAAAATGCTAGGCTTGATGGAATGATAGAAGACGAGACTATTTACCTTCTGAGGATAGACTTGTGGAGATGGACTTGGCTCATTTGAACTCTTCGTGGACGGCTGGTTATAAGATACGTACGTGGACTTTGTTGGCAGATGAAGTGATATATGGCCCAGTAGTATTAGCCGCGACAGAAGAGAATGGATTCCTGAACATCGTTTCATGAATTCCCCACTGTATTCTATTCACTCAATGAATTATCTATCACCCATAATGTAAAAGTGGTAGGTCGAGATACGTGCATCCCGATAGCACGCTGTGAGGAGGGAATTAGAAGAGAAAGCTGAATTAGATTATATTGTAATATGTTATTTATGAAGAAACGAAGTTCATAATGATTTTGAAGTTGATATTATATAAGTTCAAATGTATATATATAAAAAATTGATTATATTTAAAAGAAAAAACAAAAGCTTTTTTTTTATATTTAATTATAAAAGGTTATATAATTGATTGGTTAAAAACCTTTATATATTTGGCTTATAATTCCAACTTTCTCATAATAGATACAGCAGTAATAACTATAGTAATCTTATCTGGTATTTTCAACTTGGCCAAAGAAAGCTAACAGGCACCTTCGTTGAGCACAAATATGACAAGTAGATACCTATGAATCGCATGCTAGCCCCTCAAAGCTCAAAAAACAGAAAAATGAAGTATCGCAGACTTTTGTGGTCAAAATATAAGAATACATGAGTACGGTAACTACTTAAGCTACAGTAATTGACTCGCTAATTCCATATCTATAATTACCTAGTAAAAGATATGAAAATCACGAGCTTCGCTGAATTATATCTAGAATCTTCAACAGGGAGGGGTCAATGCGATCGATGATGAGATATATTAATCGAAAGTTTCGAGGAAGTGCTGATGCTAGGTGGTCAGGAAGAAGTATACTAGGAACAAAAGAGGGTTCTGATTTGACTCCTATAGAGAAAGCAAATGCTTGGATCTTGGATCTCAAATATACCCATCGTTCCAGAAATAACAAACCCAAATCCAAGATCCCCAGCACCCACTACTAGCAACAAAACCAGCAGTGTAAGATAGCAGAGAGAATAAACAGCGAGCTATCTATACGAGTGAGTCATGAGCCCATTGCCTTACACTACTGTTATATATTAGAGATTCTGAGATTATAATAGATGTCTTTTTTCAAGTTATCAAGATTAGTTATAAGAATGATAAAAATAAAATCTTTTATAATGTGAAGATGTGAAGATGTGAAGATATAAAATTAATTAATTATAATCATAACTATAATTATAAAAAGTATTACAATATTCCACTTAATTATCCTTAGAATTGGTATTGTATCACGGACGGCTGTATAATGTATAACTTCCTTTTCTTCTGATCTAATGCGATATACTAAGGAAAATAAAAAGAAAAAGATAAAAAAGAGAAGAAAGAGGGGTAGTGTGTTAAACTGAAGTTATTATAAGTTCAGCTTAGCTAAATAAGAAGATCCGAAGATGGAATTGTATGATTAAATAAAAGACACACTATGGAAACCTGATATGCAGCCAAAAGTAAAAAATGTTGAAATGATACCTCTATATATATATACTAGGTATATATAGTATTTATACTGTAAAAGTGTTAGGTCGAGATACGTGTGTCTCGATAGTATGTTATAAGAGGGAATTGAAAGAGAAAACTGATTAGATTATATCATAATAAATTATTTATGAAGAAAACAAGATTTATAATAATTTAAGGGTTAAGATTATATATATTCAAATGTATATATATAGAGAAAATTAATTATTATAAAAAGAAAAAACAAAAGCTTTTCTTTTATACCTAATTATAAAAGGTTATATAATTGATTAATCAAAAACCTTTATATATTTGATCTATAATTTCAACTTTCTCACAATACTTATACCGAATTTTTATATCTGAGACTTTATTTTTTTTTTTCTCCCTTCTCCCTCTCCCTCTCCTCTCCTCTCCCTCTCCCTCTCCCTCTCCTCTCCCCCTTCCCCCACTCCTCATCTCCTCTCCACTCCACTCCACCCCACATCCATTATCCACCGCACCCACACCAACAGCTCTATCAATCTAGTGATCCTTCCTCACACATCCCTCACATATCCTCCTTCCCATCCATATTCCCTCCACCCGTCCACCCGCTCCCACCCCCAAACCCCTTCCCAAACCATCCAACAAAACCCCTTGTAATCAACAACCCCGCTCCCCCCTTATAACTATAAGTCTTCCCATAACCACAACCCAATCCGACCTCAACCCACCCACCCACCCACCAAAAGAATTTTGTAAGATCTTATTTCAAGTTCTGAAATTTGACAACATCACATTACATCACAAAACCAACATTCTCATTCTGATTCTCATTCTCATTCACCATCTCCTCAACAAACAAAACACAAGAACCATGCATTAAAAATTTTAATTGTAGCATATAGGTATCTTCTAGGTATAGGTATAGGTACAGAGTAAGTCTCCTTTATCAAGACTATAGTTATAGCAAAAGGATTCTAGGTAATCAAGGATTCCTAGGTCAATAGGTCCTTGCTCCTTCCTTCTCATTCATTTCTTCAATTCTTCCTTCTCTCCTGGTTTCCCTATACCAAATCGCCTTTTAGGCCCCATTTTCATATACAAAGCTTTTAATCATACAACTGTAATGATAACGCATCCACCCATCCAACCAATCAATCAATCAAATAAAAATGCCAGGAAAGAATTTCTTAGGTATTCGCAAACGCCAAAACTCCACATGAATCATATCATCTCATCCCATCGTATCCATATCCCTATCCTATACTTTATCCTTAAAGAAAAGCCCCTTTTTCTCCCAATGCAGGATCCCTTCTGGGAGGGGAACGATTTCTCCTATATCCTTTATTTTCCGAACTCCATGGTTCCAATTCTTCTTCTTCTTCTTCATCGAATGAAGGGGCAGCAGAAGTACCGGATGGACTTTCAGTTCTCGTTTCATTTTTAACGAGTCCAATTCTCTCTTCTTCAGTAGCATTCTTGATGATCTCATCGCTTCCATGTCGAGAACCGATGCGCTTTCGATCAGGTGACCGGATTTCTTGAGGGGGTCCGTCATTTTGATGAGGTCCTCCATTCTTTCTGAAGACATTTTGGAATGAGAATTGTCTTTTGGCAGAGTGAGGTGGTGGTGTTGGTGGAACAAGGTTGCTAGATCTAGATAACGGACGGTGTGGGTCTTCCGCGATAGTTATATGTCTACCTCCTGAGCCAGTATATTCAGTCTTTTGATCGCGTAGAGCAGCCGGCAGGCCAAAAGTTTTGTTATCATGAATGTAGTAAGCTTCATCACTATGCTCGCTTTTGTAAATTTCACCATCACCGCCTCTGTAGGTACGAATATCGGTCAAGGGAACGGGATGAGTAGGACTTCCGACATTGGCCGCAGGATTTGTGGCTGATGAAAGTGATTTTCCGCGAGTTACACGGCTGCGAATAGTACCAAAGATGGAAGAACTAAGACCAGTGCCTGGACGATCTTCTTCATCGCGTTCCTCATCTGGATCTGGAAAATGTGACATGCCAAGGGGTGGATGTGCAATAGGTGTTCTAGGGAGAGTTGTTCTAGCGGTTGGTGTATGGCGCATAGGTTCGGGGAGAGGAGGAACGGCTGAGTCAGCACGAGATCTCATACTCATGGAGCCAATCGTGGTTCTACGTCTTCGAAGACCATCCCACTCAATGACCTCATCTTCACCAAGCGGCTGCAGGATGGATTCTTCATGAAGCCTCTTAGCTTCCTCCATTTCCATCTTCTGTCTAGTTGTAGAGAATTTTCTAACAATAGCTGCTGCTCCTCTAATAGCATCAGCCTTTGGTTCAGTTTCTGGTTGTTCCTGTTCGGCAATTGTACGCATTTGGTCGAGATCACCTGCAAAAATGGCAGCATCGGGGACGTCTTTGGCTGACTTGGAGAACTGAAGAAGGACAACTCCGGAACAAATAACAAGGAAACCCATGACGACCGTAATGATAGAAGTTGGAGTTCCTTTGAACCCTTTGAATAAAATGGCGGAAGTGATGATAGTCGAGCTCGTAAACATAACATAATAAGTTGGAGTGACCAAGGCGGCGTTGAAGATATTGAGAGCTTTGTTCAAAAATATAATCTCCGTCAAGAGTGTACAGACGACGAAGACGAAGAGAACGTAAAGAAACCATTGGTCATACTGTTTGGTTCCACCAATTTGAGTAACAATTGCAGCTCCCAGACCTTGTGTCGCAACAACACTAAGTCCTCCAATCAAACTGCAAATTGACAGATACACAAGCATAGATTTCTTTCCATATCGTGGTCCAGCCCAAAAAGCAAGAAAGGTACAACCGATGATGATGACACCGGCGTAACTTAAAAACCCTGGAGCGATAACAAAATGCTGCATTTCCTGAATCGTTGCGGCAGAAGCCTCTGCCGGCGCATTCATTACAATAACCACCGATCCAACGATACATAGGAAGCATCCAACTTTCCCAACCATACTAAGACGTTCTTTCAAGAAAATTGTGGATAAGATGGTGGTAATGACGACACTCAGTGCGCCAAGCGGAGTAACCAAAATTGCATCAACAAAAGCATATGCAACAAAATTGCAAATTTCTCCAACGATCATTATGGTCATTCCAGCCCACCAAAGGGCATTCTTAAGGTAGGCATACCCTTCTCCAGCTTCTTCATTATATTTCTCATTTGCCTTCAATAATCCAATCTTCTTCACGACATAAGATATTCCAATGAAAACCCCTGAAGCCACGGCCAATGATATTCCAATTGCTTTATATATAGGTGGTCGAACCTCTGTATCCGCATTCGTCGAGGCTGTGCCATTCGTAGTATTTGCTCTGGCGTATATGAGGTTGGCAGCCAGGAGAGCATGCCCGGCTTGATCCATTATGGAGAATAAGTTGGCGGAAACCGCCTAGAAAGGATGTGGGTAATCGAAGTTTGGTATGTCGCTCAATAGAGATCTTTGTAGTTTATTCGGTATTGGAGAAGGTAAATTGGTAGGTGATATTCCTTGATAATGGAGGAATTGATTGTTCTGATAAGTCGCAAGGTTATTGTTGAGATTGCATGAATTTGGGTGGGAGATGTTCTCTGATATACAATCTTTGAGAGGATTGCTGTGCGAAAGATGTGAGCTATTCGATGTTGATGGGATAACGTATCTTTGAAACGGAAGGCGTCAGAAAGATGTGATGGTATTTTGTATTTTGAATATCTGTATTGTTAACAGAAGAAGCGGACGAGAGAGCCAAAAATGTGGCTTGTACCATAGAATACTCGAACTTGATTGAGGATTAAAAGTTACTGATTGTGAACAACAAAAACAAAAGTATTCACAATGAATCTAGTGAACAATTGATAATGAGTAATTAAGTTATGTGTCTCCTTTTGCTTGAATCGTTGGAATGATTCCAATGTTCAAATTAAACTGAAGAAAGAAGCATTAACATGAAGAGGAAGAAGACACGAAAGTGGATTGATGATGTCGTCCTTCAATTATACTCTGTGTACTTGTGGTAGTTGGCAGTTGGTAGTTGGTAGTTGGTAGTTGGTAGTGGGTAGTTGGTAGTCTACTCCGTCGTGGTAGAAGTAGTGGGAGTAAGTGGGAGTAGTAGGTAGGCGGGAATAAGTGGGAGGAGGTGGGAGTATTAAGTGGGTGGATAAGGATGGATGGGATGTTCGAGAAGTTAATAATAAGTTTGGTACAGAATAGAGTGACAGTGGACTGGACCGCATTTTACTTTCTTACTATTATATATTATATATTATATATTATACTACTATGCACGGCACGAGGAGGGTAGGTAGGGAGGGAGGCTATCATTAATATGTTGGTACACTACTCCGTACACCACCAACCAACTCGATCTTTTTTTCTTTTCCAAATTGGAGGTGGCAGGTTGTTTCCGAGGGGTTGGGCTAGCCAAGGTAAGAAAGAAAGGCTAAGAAGGCTGGGATTGAAAGTTACTTACAGTAGCAAGTTTTGGGGATCTTTTCACGGCACAAATCAACACTTCATCATCCAATTATCATCAATAAAAGAGGACAGGAGACAGGAGGCTATGCTAACAGTTATAATGGATCTAGGAGTTGGATGTGCCGTTATGCAGGTATGGAGCAATTTTGGAGTGGCGATACTTGGCCGAATAGAAAGACTGAATTAGCTCATAGATGTAACTGATAACTTATATTAGGATGCACGCCGTTTCTCTACAGCTACGACTAACGAAAGAAAAGGGGACCAAAGGAGATATACATGACAGAATCCCCTGCGTAAAACCATTGAATGTATTTGTATGCATATGGCTCGATCTAACTGATGTCATTCAATACTCGACATACTCGACATACTCGACATACTCGACATACTCGACATACTCCTAACACTCCTAACACTCCTAACACTCCTAATACTGTCAGGAGATACTTCAGTAGACCCAACAAATGATTTCGATTGATACCTGACCACTTGATTTCGGGCGTTTTGTCGATTATCATCTTATCTACTCCATCCCTATAAACTATTGCCCCTTTTATCATGATCAGCCAAAGCTTTCATGAGCATTTTAATCAAGTTTGATTGGATGAATCAAGTCAATTCTACTTTTCTACTCGAGTACCTACCTATTCAACATTCCCTTCCCTGCACACAAAGCACAGAGTAGAGTAAACAAATCCCATTTGAGCCACAAATAATCTATCCAGCTAATCTATCCAACTTGCCCAGCAACCAACATCAACACATCAGCCAAAATAAAGTTTCCACATCACTCCCTCTCAAATAACATCATCACGCTACTTCTCAACATATCAAAATGTCTTACAAGTAAAGAATCACAAGATGTATTTAAACTATCCGACAACCGTCGCTTGCAGCAACTTCTTCCCATTCCATCCTATAAAATAATCCCATGGCAAACTTTGGAAACTTCATCGTGGCAGAGTTGCATTTAATACGAGGACGAGGAGGTTAGTGCTCTAGATGCAAAAAGCATTCGTTCGTGTTATACATTATCCTCTGTGCTCCGTATGTTATCATGCGCAAACTTCTGCTTACCAATGCACATCCACATGTAACGGACGGAATATGCCATCTAGTGAAATACTCCGTAGACCCCATAACTTCTCCCACCACAAATCCTGAATCATAACCTTACAACCCCGAGGAAAATCTCTGCATCTGTCTACTGCGTAAACGCGCAATCCACATCCACAATCGTCCGGAATGTGCAAGGCTCCATCTCCATTCATCGCATCGTATTGCATCCCACGCCACGCTTGCAGGCTGCGTAAGAGCTAAGCCCTCCCCATATTCTTTTCATGAACTTGACTTATTCGACCAGCATTCCCGGTTTGATGTTTTGATGTTCGAGTTTGGTGTTTGGTGTTTCATGTGTGTGAGCCTGTGAGGTTTTGGAAGTTTGGTAAGATCTTTGTATTTTCGTTGGATGGTATTTGATTAATCCTCAAAAGATGATTTACAATTCTTATCATTTGGATGGGATTGTTTATGAGATCGGTGGCTGTTACAGTCTTACGAGTAACGGGGAGCTTTTCGATGTGCTAGAGATAAGCTGGCACGGGGAGATAGGCGATGTTTTTGCGAGTAAAAGCTTTTGTGTCAGATCGCGAGCGCGAGACGCAGAGTTTCCTCTACTTCTTATTCAAGTATCATACCGAAATCAAGTTGCGATGTAAGTTATCTCGATTCTTGAGTGGCGGAATGTTGGAGAAATAATTCACTAATCATCTACATGTCAATCAATTGCATTTTTGATTTTGAGATGTAAAGCAATAAACCACGTGATGAAGAGTATCAAGTTGATACATTCATCATAAGCCCAGCTTCTTGTTCTTCTTTCTTCAGTAAAGTTCTTTATAAATCGATTGGTTTCCTGGCTTAATGTGGCAATCTATTGGGAAATGGTCGTATTCTTCTATATTCTTACTACTGTAGACTGTGCTATTTCTGCTTCTATAATTGCGCTTATATCCAAGGTATGCTAGAGCTTGATGATAAGGACGCTCATGGCTGCAATTATGGTCTTGATTACTGGCGTTGGCATTGGCTGGTTCTCAGCAGCGTCGATGAAGGCTAGTGCTTCCCTGAGGTAATCGTTGAGGTATAGAGCGTACTTGTGGAGGTCGGTGGGCCATGCTGTCACTTGAGGCCACAGTGTCGCCATGATGCCTATGTCTATGGTTACACTGGACAATGCGCACAAGCTCAGGCTTCTCAACTGACCAAAAGGAGGAGTGCTGTATGTATTTTTTGCTGCTCAATTTCAACAAAATTGTTCTCGCTGTTTATGTGTTTTTTTATTTTGCAAAGACCCAGAGGGCCCAAATTCTTAAGGCTTCCTTGCGATGTGATACTACCCTGTATGTTGTGCCTGTTGGTCATTGAGCTTAAGGTCCCTTAATCACATGCTCCTGCTTCTTTGGTCCGTGATACTCTTCTATCTTCACTTGTAGATTCTAAGGGATAAATCGATGTCTCTACATACTCTTCAGTCACGGTATCTAAGTTATATAATCGATGTTTTGATTACGCTCCATTGACCGTTGACAGTATTGAATATTTTATCTCTAACTAAATTTTGATAATTATAGAAATGCTTTAGAAAACAAAATACCAAGAGATTTGCAGATCTCTTAGATTATCACTACCTCAAAGGTCATCTAAACTGCCCAGATCATTCAGGTCTGGCGAATCCAACTGTTCTATATCTGTATAATCTACATCAAAATTAATTTCATCCGAATCCAGCTTAGAATTTTCTCTAGTTAGTTCAGCGCTACTGTCTTCCGCCTCATCGACGTCGCTATTTGCCACCGCTTCAGCTTTGACCATTGGCTCCGATGGAGTCTCGAATTCCTGCTCACAACCTTCCGCGAGATCTAAAGTGTGTGGGCCCTCAGAGGTGGCTGTACGTGGATGTTCCACAGTCGCTGTCGAGTAACACTTGCTACAGGTGATGTATCGCCAGTGACACTTCACACAGTCATAGCGGTGACCTCGGATTAGCTAGTAGCGTAGGGTGTCAGCTTAGCTGTCTTTTTATGTGGGGAAGGTTGGTTTGGTTCTGAGTGTGCTAATGATGTCTAAAACTCTTACACCGAAGCATAAATCGCAAAAACCTGATCTGGTCTTATATGCAGGCTCATATTTAGCCTCCTCGCCTAACGCATTCCCGTCGCTGAGGAGTTGGATGATGGCTTTGTCGGCCTCACAACGCCTCGCCATCTTCAGAGGTGTAAGCTCTTCCGTGCTCTCGCCACGACCCATAAAAAAGCGCACTGAAATATCTGCGCCATTTTCAATCAAACACTGAATAGTAGCCTCATAGTTCTGAGGTTCAAATCTCGTCCAACACGGCGCACTATGTCTCTGCGACAACCTTGAAGCCCAAGCTAGCGGGGTCCAGCCGTCACTGTCTCTCAAGTTGACGTACGTTTCCTTGTCTTTGGGTGAGAGCTTTTGCAGAATCGCTTTAGTGATCTCTGCGTTGCCCATCTGCGCAGCCTAGTGCAACGCGGTCTTATTGAATTTGTCACAAATCATGATATTTTCACCGTGTGCCAAGGCCACTGTCTCAAAATTTCGAATACTATTCGCGGCTGCAAAGTGTATCGGCAGGCGGCCCAATGGATCAGGCGTTTGTATAGAGATCGCCCTGTCCAACTGGAAGTTAATGATTCCGATCTCAGGACAGAGAGGGGCGGCACACACTGCATTGAAAATGGAGATGCCGCATGTGAAAGCAGCGTCGGCACCATTGGCGATCAGTGCCCGCACTATCCGCTCTGCATTTTCCATCTTAGGTGATAGATTTCTATAACCATCTAGATTGTAGGGTATGCAGGCTGCGATTAGGGGCGTACTTCGGAAGGAAATACAGTTGGCGTTAGCGTCGGCTCCGTACTGCAGCAACTTTTTTACTAGAACAATATCACCATATCCACATGCAATATGGAGAGCTGTACCTTCTCGCGCCTTGAGATGGATATCGGTCTTAGGCTGAGCGAGGAGCCAATCATGAACAGCTGTGGCATTCGCGCCAAACCGCGCGGACCGAATGAGAACAGTCTCTCCGTTAGAATCCCGAGCATTAATGTCGGCACCGGCGCGGACAAGTAGGCGGATACATTCGAGATCCTCTGTTCTTGTGAAATCAGAAACCGCCAGCAAGGCCGTCCTACCCTTTATACCACAGCGCACAAGGTCATCGGGCTGGTGAAAATTAAGGAGGACCTGCTTAAGGAGGACCTGCAACACATCTGACCGACCTAGACTGGCGGCAAGATGGAGAGGACTATATCCACCTTCTGTGGTATCCGAGAGCCTTGCACCGGCGTCTAGTAGAAGTCTTGCAATCTGGGCATTCGGAATGTAGCCTGTTGCATCCATGATAGGGCTCCAGCCTGCATTGTCGCGGCGATGGACGTCGATATGTCTCGCTGGCTCGAGTAACAATCCGACGACTTCTTCTTTTTGTGCTACAACTGCATTGTTAAGGAGGGTGCGCTTGCAAGAGTCCTGGAAGCTGGGATCAGCTCCGGCATCTAGAAGTGCTTTGAGCTCATCAATATGATCCATGGTCAACTCAAGCAGTGTCAGGTCGGAACTGGATAGAAGATCAAGCTGTGGTTGCTCGTGATGGGCTAGAAGGTAGTGGACCACATTCCACTTCTTGTTCAAAATCGTATGAAACAAGACGCTTTGGTTTTCAAAGTCCAGCGTGTTGATCGAGGCTGTCCGATTGAGTAGCCATTGGACAGCGGACTGGTTTCCAGCCTGGCCCACCACCATCAACGGTGTAAGACCGTACTTGTCTCTTCTTTCTAGGTCCACTGGACGATCGTTCTCAATTAGAAGATCGAACATTTTGATTTTCGTCATGTCTGATATTTTGACGTTCTCTATGATTTCGCTCAGTATTGGTGGTTCCAAAAGCTCATGGTTGGGGTCGGCGCCATGCTCAAGTAACAGCTTCATTATTTCCAAACTGCCGCAATTCATTGCTGCGAGCCAAAGACATGTATTTATCCCAGATGGCCCAGCCGTGTTGGGATCGGCTTTGTATTCCAATAAATTTTGTACCGTATTTACGTAGCCGTTTGAACACGATATGCTGATAAGAGTCCAGTCGTAATCTGGAAGGTCATCTCCCGATGTTTCTGGAGTATCTTTTCTTGGTCGATTAGGATCTGCTCCCTTTCCAAGCAGCAGCTCAGCACACTTCCAAAAGCCCGAAGACGTGGCAGCGTACAAGGGTGTCTCAGGCTGCCGCCAATCCAGCAGGGCTGGGTCTTCTTCGAGTAGGATTTTGACGACCTCAAAATGTCCGTGTAAACAAGCAGCAAAGATCGACGTGTACTCAATGTTGTTCTTCGCCCTCACATCTACTTTATAGCTGATCAGGATGTCGACGACCTTTAGATTGCCTAAAATTGAAGCCAAATATAGCATTGATGGACAACAAGAGGAGGAACTGTCGTCCTGCTGGCGGCCTTGTCGAAGCATAAAATACAACAAGCGGTCCATTCCGAGCCACGTCGCGCGCCATAGTACCGACGAAGAAAATTTTAGGACATCTTCTGTTGATTCATTGCCGCTCGAGAAGTCCGATACAATTTTGTTGGCGGAAATGAGTGCCGCAGCCTCGTCGTTATCCCTCACGGCCTGGATTAGACTCTCAACTGGCCCGTCGATACGATGCTCTGTCTCCAATTTCGGCAGCTCAAATTCATCACTGGTCTCCCACGTACTCCAAGCAGACCGAAGTGGTCCTTTTGGTGGCCGAGAGAAAGGGTTGGACATGGCCCAATACGCTTTCGCCCACTGCACATAGGGTCCGGAAAGATCCTTCATCTGCTCTTTGATGCTCCCGGTCGTTTCGATCTTAGACAGATGATGGGGCAGTGCATGTACTGCATAAAGATGATTTTCGCCCGTCTGGGGTCATAGGTGGTGTGATCGAGTTTCCTGACCGCTGGACACGTTTTTGGTAGTTTTCGTGAAGAACTTTGAGGCGTTCTTGGGATGACGGAAGCTTGAGATACTCAAGCAGGAACTCTGCAGTGCGTCTGGGAGCTTGGTTTTTGATTCTTACCCAGCATTCTTCGGCTTCATCCGTCATTAATTTGAGCACATCAGGGCGAATGCATAATTTGCCTCTGTTTAAGGACTCCAAGCCTCGTATTCGACTTCTAATATCCGCCAAGCACTGCTGAACATCGTGATCGTCTGGCGGAGTCATACTTCCACCTTGCCCTTTATTTGGAATGACACTATGCTCGCGAGCTCCATCTCGGTCAATGGTCGCTGTCCATGTGTCATCCACATCAGCACACATGCAAGCCATTCTTGCTCCCGAATAGACCGTAAAATTCCCCAAACAACCTCTCGTGGTGTTGATGAGGGTGTCATATTCTCAAAGATCTCAAGGAAGAGCGAGAAGTTGTCATGTGACTTCTGTATGGGCCATCTCGAGTACGTTTCGGCAACGTGCAGAACGCTGGCCATTGTTTTGCGGTCCATCGATTCCAGACGTTTCAGAGTCCTACGTATTCTTTCCTCGCCCAGTTGTATTGGACACAAGTGCGCAATCAGTGCATTCTGCATATCGTTCTCCGATTCAACCTCCACCTCCACAACATGGGAAGCCTCATATACGAGGAGCGCCATTCCCGGCCAGCCCTTCAGCTCATTACGAAAGGTTTCAGACGTATAGATCTCGGAATTGTTTGCCGTAACGACGATCTTTACCGGACCTTCGTACTTACTGGTAACCTCTCCCAGCCTGGCCCAAAACTTCTTCCGGCTGCGTATGTTGCACTCATCAATTCCATGAAACACATGTGGAGTAGTACCAATCATTTCCGGGACGAGTACACAACCCAAGGTTGAGCAGGTCATCATCTGTCCATGCATTTTGTAGCTTGTACTGATCTTGCAGTATATTGTGGTACACACTACTATGGAGCGCGGCCTCCCTGAGAAAATGCAGCACGGACGCAGCAACCGCGGACGCCATGGAGTTGCTTGTGGAATCAGTCGCGTCGAATCGGAACTGGAAAAAGGGACGGTAGTAGGAACCACTTTCCTGCTGTCTTCTTGCCCAGTCCATGCCGATCTGCTCCGCAGCCACCGTAACAGCCTCAATATCGGGCCCATCAAGATACAATATTTGGATCCCGTTCAGGTTGCTCCAGGACTGATAAGCAGTTGAAGATAGCACAGGATGGTCTGGCAGAGGTACCGTGGACCGCATTTGAACGTTTGGTGGGACAAGAGACAGGATTGTCTGCTCCAAGGCTATTGCTGGTAGATCGGCAATCCTGCAGCCTTCAAGCCTTATCAGCAACTCAACTCGTCTCACTTGGACAGTATCAAGGTGCTAAGGCGCTAGGCACTTACTATTGATAGAACTGCCTATGTTTTTCGCAAGCAGAGGAAATGAGTCATTCGGTCCAGATTTGTGGTCTTGTTCCTGCATTGCCAATTCGGTAGAGAGACCTATGGTGGCAGTGGCGTAGTCTAATGACTGTTAAAAGGTGTCAATATCGGGTGGTCTCTCTTGGACAATGTTCCGAAAATTAAACGCCAACTTACCGAATGTATGCGTCCTCCAGGAAGCACCGGCATACAAGCTAAATATTCTGCTTCTCAGCGAGATCTTAGAGTCCAGGAACGCTGTGTTTGCGAGTCTCGTCGCAGAAACGAGGGTCTGCACTGACACAAGTGTGATGAGCGTTCTCCACTCTGCATCTTTGCCAGTATCGTTGAGGAAACTCAGATGTATCATTCCTAGCTGATGCTCATCTCCACGTTGAAAACAACCGACCAGTACCTAAAAGAGTGTTAATACCGGGGTTGATTTTTGGTGTGAAGATGAGCTGTTGATCCACTCTAGGGCTTACAATTCGCGCGATACTCGTGAAGATCTCAGCATACTCATATTCATCTTTGGAAGCAGTTGATATAGCCTGTGGAAGAGTTGTCAATATTTCGATGTTCTAGGAATTTCAGAAGCCTATGCCGACCTGCTTCAAAACCACGGCGCCGAGGTCATATGCCGTAGCTATTATGGCCCTTCGTACCGCCTTCAATTTTCTCAAGTTAACGGACAACTTCTATGAGAATAGATGTCTTACTACTTACTCTGTCGCCAAATCGACAAAAATGCCTCAAACCGCTGAGTAGTTGACGAGCCTTGGCATCAATATAATGTGTAATGAATTTAGCATCTTCATACAACAAGGCAGACACATCAACTTCGAACCGGAACTCCCGCTTTCGAGCATCAGCGGGCAAGGAATCTGTCAATGCGGACAGACTAATGACATCTTGTTGCCCTGCGGCCCCAAAAACGTGAACGACACTTCGGTGAAACCTCGGTCAGCAGCAGGACCTATGTTTCGGGTTTTATACCTACAAGGAAGAAATTGGGAACTCACTCGACCTCGTATTATGGCTCCTCGCTCGAAAGGTCAGGCTCTAAGATTGCCTCTAGCCGGAGCCCGTCGATTGAAGATCCGATGTAAGGTCCATGGTCTGGAGATTTCGTAGACTGCATGACACTCAGGTCATCATCGCTTTTTGCTGCTTCTGCAAGTTCCATTTGGACTTCGAAACTCGTGATTTTGATGCTGACGCTACTTTCCATGGCCATATTGCTTAATACCCTAATCGTGTATTAATTCATCCGACATGAATGGATATTCAAAAGCGTATCGATGAAAGGCTCACGATCAACGGGACATTATTCGCTTTACACGACTGTTCCGAGTAAACGCGCCAATACCAAGCCTACACAAGCTGAGTGTCGAGGCACTTCCAGAACAGGCGTGAGGTCTTGACCTTACGTGAAGAGTTTTTTTGCTTCACTGCTGGCGTGGTAATTTTCTTGTGCATTATCTCTGACAAAATTATCCGAGGCTGATTTCAGCTGGAGCGATCCCTGCTTCTGCGACCCCGCCATTGCAACGCAACGTTGCAATGAATGACACGTTAGAACGCTAATTCGAGCCCGGTTTCACCTGATAGCAGAAGTTTCATTGTTGTTGGTGGATGTATTTGAGAATGTCAAGATACTTAATGCTTTCCGTTATATCTCAAGCGCTCTCTGTTCGACGCTTTGTCATCGAACAGCCAGGGTTCAAATTCAGGACACACTGTGAAATGGCAGAGGAGCAGGAGATTTGGCTTAGCCAAGACGAGGAAAATGGGTACTCGGACTCAGATCAAGACTTTGCCTCTGCAGATCCAGCGGCCTTCAATCTAGCTTTAGTGAATCAAGGTGGCCAAGAAGGAGGTAAGCTGGGTTTTAAATGACAGTCAATGAACCAGAGGAGCTTTATAGCTGACCGCTTAATCAGGTTATCATGTTCGTAACAAGGAATATATGCTTCAGAGGAAGACGGTTTCCGTCATAAGTGGCGGTTTTCGTAAAAAGAAAGACCGGCATTTACTGTAGGTTGCGAGGCTAGGGCTATGATTCATGGGCGTATGAGCCCCAGCTCTGACAAGCCAGCCACTATCCTGGTCTACGAGCTCAAGTTCCTTTCACGTCGCGGCACGCGCATCAAGGACGCCGATATCCTCTTCGAGTTTCAGTTGACGTCAAAGAGGCAGAGTACCGTGGGTCCAACTGTTTTCGAAGTGCGACCGAACGGTCAGAGTAAGATTGGGGAGACGATTGAAAACCAAGCGTCAAAGTTAGGTCTCTCTTTCAACTTCGGGCCATCCATTCCCGGCGTCGATGCCGGAATCACTACCTCCTGGGAGCAGAACATCAGTAAGGATGTCAAATTCCACACAACCGTAACAGGTGATAATCCTGCGGATGAGGTGTGGGGAGATAAGAACCTCTACTTCGATGCAACAAACTTAAAAGGCAAAACTTCCAAAGAAATTGCAGATCTCGTCACCATGCTTGCGAATCCTGGAGGCTTTGAGGACACTCTATCTTATGTTAGCCTACCCGTTCTAAGCTACACAAAAGACCCGATGAGTAGCTCGAGTCAGAGTTCCAGGAATTACGATACAAACGAGCGACGTCAGCATAGTGTGAGTGGCTAGGACGACAAGACGACAGGTCGGAACTCCGTAATTGCTGTGCTGGACAAGCTTGCCGAGTGTGGTGTCCGGAAGGTCATCCGTCTAATTGTCGAGGAGGACTTAAAGTCTCCTCACACCGATGCCGCCATTGAGAGGGCTGTACGTGGTATAGACTCCATGCAGCCAGAATACGGGAGGGAGCACCCTGGGGTCGCCGTGGAAGTTTGGTAAGTGCAGTTTCTAGCGCATGCTAGAGTGTACTAGCAACATGATGTCACACAGAGCTTATTCAATATCTATAGGGACTGGAAAAAGTGTGATCTCAGCACTGACGTCATCAGATTTGCTTCACCAAAGGTCTCAGGTCAATTTGTATTGGACGGGCAACCAGGTCGTGTTGAAAGGCTGGGCGAGCAAAGAGGGTATTCCACGCCTATTCGTGGATTCTGAGAAATGTCTCAAGACTGTCAACATCTTTTGGTCTCCTGTAAGTGCCGGCCTCTAAGCACATCTATATGTTTAGAAATTGGGAATTGGGAATTAGGAATTAGGAATGTATTTTATTAGATAGGTAAGGTTACTTTAAGTATATATAAAGTTAATTATTCTATTTGCTTTCTTATTTTGAAGATCTCTTGTTTTGAGAGATAGAAGATAGAAGATAGAAGATGGATTTGTTTTACTGCGGGAGTGGAAGGAGGTAGGGGTTGGGTTTGAGTGGAGGTTCGAGATTGAGGTTGAGGTTGAGGTTGGATACTGGGGAGTGGAATTATGATGGTATTATAATCTTATTAGATCGAGCTCTTTAATACGGGGAATTCGAAAGAGGGGGAATGATGAGCTTTTAGGCGGGTGAATAGATGGATATATAGATGGAGGTTAGATACTAGGAAGTGAAATTGTAATAGTATCGTATATCGAGATTTTTTATACTTGAAATTCGAAAGAGCGGAGCGATGAACTTGGAGTGGGTGGATAGATGGATTAAATATTAAACCTGAGTAAGTGTATATTAGGCTTGTTCAGTATCAAATCGGCTTTTGACCTGAATAATTCCCACGCAGGAAGAAATTTATTGTCCCTGAAGTCATCGTTGATGGTGTTTTCAAAAGCCTTCTTAAGACCATCCCTTCTGCGCAGAGATTCGCCGTATTTAGAGAACTTGGTTCTGTTCTTGACATTGGTGTTGTAGTACACCTCCAAGAGGCTGGTCATGTACAGTACGATCGAAGCTAGCCCGGCCGCCAGCGCTGTGGCTATAGACGAGCCGTCGCGGTACTTGAGTTCTTCTGTCCGGACTATACGTGGGTTGAAGTCGTCGATGACCTGACTTCCTGGCAGGAAGTAGTCAATCGCGCGACTCACTCCTCGACCAATCATATCGCAACCTTAAGCGAACCTCATTTTCTACGACCTACACCGGATAAACCTCGTGTACAGCAAGGTTATAGTGTCGGCAAGCCGACAATAAAACCAAAATTGGAACGTTGGAACATTGAAAAAAACTATAAGTTCCAACTAGCTAATTCCACCAGTTGAATGTAGTCCAGTTTCATCTCGTCTAATTCTACTCTAACAATATCACAATCCGTGCCTTTTCCTTCCTTCCTGCTTCCTTCTTCTCCTCCTTCCATCTAAACAACATCTACCCACCTAACCAGACTCACCACTCCGTTTCCAGCTAACCCTCTTCGCAAGTTCCTGTCTAACACCCCACCTACCCTTATGAGCAGTCGCCGTCGCCGTCGCTGTCGCTGTCGCCTGCGGAAGCTCCGACTTCTTACAGTTATATTCCTCCCACTGCGCGCGATAATAGCCAGAACCACGACCTGAAACTCCCGCCGGCAGCAGACGTCTCATACCGTGAAAATCCACTTGGCCGTCATTTTTATCCGGCATATCGTAGAACATACCTTGGACTGTTCTTGCGCCTCGGCTTCGGATGGCCAGTGTGCCGGTGCCTTGTTCGGTTGAGCCGGAGAAGGTACCTCGTCCGTACCATTTGAATTCCATGGGGCTGTTGTGTGTTAGGGCTTCTAGGCTATCGTTCAAACAGAGAAAACCTTCAACGATGCCTATGTCAAAGTATCCCAAGACTTTTCCTTGTTGCTGGTCTACGTGCAGACGAGCCATTAAACCCTTTGAAGTCGACAACCAATCCTCTTCTATCTCCCTGCTAGTGATATCATAAATGCCAGTAATCATTTCGATAAAACTTTGTTGGTCTTTCTCGGTCCATTCCTTAAGCTGAGACGTATCATCCATTAGCGAACCTGTTGAATAAGTGTCATCATGCTCGGACGGAGACTTTGCTATTGTGGATCTTGGAGTCGGTGATCGTGGGATTTCATCCTCCTCAGTTTCGGCATACCCATTCCATTTATCAATAAATTCTTGAACAGACATGTCTACAAGACAAGGTCCATGAGGTATCTTCCCATGAAACTCACACCGACCACCTGGATAACCAACACCCGACATTGCTTCAAAGTGACCCCAAATCTTGCCATTGCCAAAGCGAATTTTGCCGATAGTGAATGCAGAATTAAATGATTTGTGAGGTATTTTTGCATTTGTTCCACGCCATTTGAAACGATACTCCTTGGTCGCAGCAATCTCATCATCTCCACCATCATCGTCATCATCCGCAGACTCTTCACTCGATTCTTTATCTTTCGCCAGGGCCTCATGGAACTTTGAGTACTCAACATCAGCTTTGAAATGGTCTTGACCTGGACCAGGATCAATGACAAAGGAACCGTTGAAAACGTCCAAATCGAATGTACCCAAAAGGCGATCATGGTCCCAGATCAGCCGAATGCGTGAAGTGTACCCTAGACCAGGGGAATTATCCTGTTTAACTTTGTATGTGGCCTGGATGTTTCGCATGCGCTCACGATAGTATTCATCATGGAACACCATCGCATTGATATGTTCGTTCTCCCGTCTGCTTTTATTGGCAGCTAAGCAGTTCGCCATATTAGGAAGATCATATTTATCGGACTTCGGAGCGATTCCGGTCTTCTTTTTTATGAGTCCATACATGTTTTCCGCCGCTGATTGGGATTTCTGATAGGAATGTGAGTGGGATGTATTGGAAGCGTATAAAAGTGGTATGTGATGGTTGTTTACTTGAATTAATAGCGTGCCTACTTAATATGGCAGGCATGTGATAAAAGTGGCAATGACACTGGATACATTATTCGCAACTGCCATTTTCGAGAGCCGATAACGCTGCTTCCAAATGTACGTGAGTTGGGTTTAGACCGCCGTGAGACAGGTTAGTTTTACCCTACTGATGGCCGTCGCTCGCAATGGTAATTCAGCTTAGTACGGGAGGAACCGCTGATTCAGATAATTGGTTTTTGCGGCTGTCTGACAAGGCAGTGCCGCGAAGCTACCATCTGCTGGATGATTGCTGAACGCTTCTAAGTCAGAGTCCATGCAAAAAAAATTGTTGAAAAAGAATTTCAGCTATTTGTTCCTTAACCTTCCCAAATCATCCGTCGTTGAGTTCTGGTTGGTTATGGATCTAAACCTAGGTTATTGAAATCATCCTGGACGCCCAAGATACCAAAGGCATAATGAACTCTCTGATGGGTGCTAATCACCACTCTCTTATCCGCAACTTGCTGCTCTCGTAGTTTAGTCGCTTCGGCATGTCGTACAGGGTTCTCCATTTGTGGAGCTACTCGTTCTTCCCCCGTTCTTTTATATGGCGGACCTTTCCCCATCTCCCCAGCCTTGATCCAAGATGTCTCACAACCGGTAGCAACTGAAGAGATCAGTAAAGGTAAGAATAATCTTTTAGGCTCATAAGGTATAAGAGTTTAAGAATTTACATACTTGCAAGTGCCGTTTGCCAACCAGTCAAACGAGCCACGTCTTTAAGCCGGCATATGAGCCATGTCCTTTGGTCCACATTTTGATACTGCAAACGGTAAGTACAAGATTATAGTACTCTGAAATTTCAAACCTACTTGGACGCCTGCTAGAAAGAGGCAAATGGTACTTTCCATAAGTGCTGCACCAACTCCCGGGTTTACTTGTGTTGTCATGCTAAGGTCCGGTGCAATACCTGCGGCAATCCGACCGAGTTCATTTGCGAAGAACTCCGTCTTACGAGCCGCCATACTTGCAGCTACCATAGCTGCAGGTGGCATAGAAGGATGAGCTCGGTGACAAGAAATGAGTCCCATGTAATAATTCATCCAGATGCCGGCAATACCATAAGTTCGGTATTGCAAAGCCGTCCCAAAGGGAGTTTGGACTGGCGCCGAGAATTCCTCACCTAAATATTGGAAGTCTTCACCAAAGTGATCTTCAAGCACACTAAATGCATTGCGAATATCTTGCCACTCTTCTTCCGCCTCAAGCTTCTGAGCTTCAAGATCAATATCTCCACCTTCTGAGCTTTGAGAAGAGCTACTGTATGTTGGCGAGAATCCCGTGGGGAGCGTCGGCTCTTTGACATTTGGTACCATGCCAGTGAAATTTGGCATCTTATTACTCATGGGATTATTAGCAGCTTTGAACGCTAGTGTCTTCCTCTTCAAGTCTTTTGAGGCAAAATCTGCAAGCCGCCCCATCAAAAGCATGAGATGATCAAACGTGCCGTATACTGCATCTAATCGACCAAGGGGAGCACGTGGAGGGCAAAGACTCCACCTATCATACTCGGTAAAAAGCTTCCCTCCACCTAAGATACTCTGGTAAACGTCTTGTTTGAAGTACCACCACACGAGATCGCGTTGCACCTCATAAGTTTCAATGTCCTTAGGGCTATAAACCCGGTCTTCATTGTTCTCCCAAACCTCATCGATGATATGCCCATACTCATCGTAACGAAGTCTTCGGCCCATCAAAACTCCAACAATGTTTTCATCCACATCTTCTAATGAGGCAGCGAATTTATGTTTTTCTTCAATAAATGTTGCACCCATATGTATCTGCTCCTGGCGATGGCGGGCACAATCTTCATTACGCAGCTGTGCCCTCATGGTTTTCAGATGATGAGTCATGCCAGTGAAATCAATGTCTCTCACAAGAGTCCTCGTTCCAAGCAGATGGTTACTCCACTTTTGATGGTCCGCACACCAACACTCATAGAATGAGAGTAACATGGTGGCAGCCAATACAGCAGGCTGCTCTCTGCGGCCAGGTACGCTGACGCTTTTTGCAATCCTACGCAAAGCGATTGCATAATGTTTCAGAGATGCAGTTACGTGGGTGTTTTGCAACTTTGCAATATGTAAGCTGGCTAGAGCGAGCATTGCGTGAAGGAGTGCTTCATTTTTCAAGGCAAGCATAGGAAATGTGTAGGTCCAAATATGTTGTTGAGAAGATGGCACAGATCTCCCCTGAAATATCAAAGAAGGATTAGCAGGATTTCTCTCAAACATTGATATACTCGGTCCAGTTACGTTGATAAAATGACAGAAGATTCTAGCCGTCATAGTATCATTGAGTGGAGACGACCGGAGTGAAGGGTTGTAAGCCGATAGCATATCAGATCGATCAATCAATGAGGTGAAAGAACGGAGACTTTGATTCTGCGCATCTTGTCGAGCTTGAAGTGCAATTAGTGCCCCAATGCCATAGCCTATATTATGAACATTGAAAGTATCATGCTCAAGGTCATCTTCTGCGTAATCGTTATCCAGGCTCATTTCATCATCGTCAAATATTCGTTCATCTTGTTGTCTGATTACGGGATGGTTGTTGTTGTCATGATGGTTGTTGTGGTCATGATGGTTGTTGTGGTCATGATGGTTGTTGTTGTCAACCATATTTTGGTTTGGATTGTTTGACCCGATGAGCTGCGAAAAGTTCTCTACTGATGAAGGATGTTGTGTCTCAAATCGAGATGTATAAGCTGCTTCCATGGCCTGTGTTACTTGTATTGTGATCGGTGTGATGGGGATATGAGATGGACTTGAGCTTAGATTGGATGGATGAGAGAAAGCGGTTTGCTGCCAGCTTAGATCACTCTGAGTGGTCCCCATAGGTGGCGTGAGATGCGGAAACTGTGCGTTTGAATTATGTGCATGTCCTTGAGAATAGGTATGAGTTACACTATTTTGACTGGAAATCCATTGCGACGGACTGGGCTGCGAAGCGGACATGGAAAGCTCGCCAAGTGGTGACTGTTTCTCAAACAAAGCATTAAAATCATAATGGGTAGGCCCAGGATTTGGGGGTGATTTATGTTCGGGAGTTGGTAGGTATGAGCGATCCACGCTATCCCTGTGGTTTGACGTTGACTCCAATGCTTCTCGAGAATTACTTCTCTTGATCGCCACATCCTGATTCGCCCGACCTGGAAAGACGTGCATGCCTTGCTCAAAGCCTGGATTTGTCTCATTAACAGGCCTGTGTTGAGGACTATTATTTGTACCCAAGTCACCTGGTTTTGGTGCAAGATTTGGTAACTGCGCCTGCGCCGAAGTCGAAGGTTTTGGGGCTTCAACTCGACGCTGATTTGACCGGCCGGACCCCGATGATGAGAATTTGATCTGGGATGAATTGGCAAAGGGCCCCCAGGTCGCACTTAAAGGGTCCTTGAAGACAACTCGTTGGTTGTATCCCTCACAAAGTCTTTTCGACTTGGAACAATTTTGACATGTTGGCTTTTCCTCTCCACACTTGATACGCCGCTTTCGACATGCTAAGAGCAAAGGAAACATGTCAGTCACTCCATGTACCAACCACAGACTTTTTACCTGGAAAACTCACTTAAACATCCAGTTTTCGTTCGTTTCTTAGCCTGAGCTCTAGAACCAGGTTTCCGTCCACCGGCAGGACTTTCCTCCTCTTCCTCATTCTCAAGATCCAGCGGCTTCTCCGGAGTCATATCGAGCGTGTTCATGGGCGTTGATTCAAAGGTAGTTAAATCTCCCCTTTTCAAATTGATAGTTCAAGGTTCGGATCTCATGATTCCCATCCGGTAGTACCCGTCAAACTTTGCGAAACGTCAATTCTCGGTAGGTTCACCTATGGAAGATCATAGTATATACCACAGTAATGGAAACAAGTCGGTGAGATTGGGGCAATGGCGGAATTGACACGACGAGGGATTATTAACAATGGGTAACTACTTGGTGTCTTCCCGTGATAGCAGTTCTGGTGATTTGAAGCTCAAGTCCAAATCAAATGTGTCATGTCAAATGAAGTTAAGGTGAATTATGCGTTGATGTTTGGTAGGGTATATAGTTGCAGGTACAAGTCTGCTATGGTTCCTCCCGGCACTCAAGCATCAAAGGTGGGTGGGATTAGGCCAGGATTGACAATGGCTGAATAAGATGGATTTTTCCTAGGTAAAAATGCGGTTGTTGCTCAGCTTGGCAAGGTAGAAGATGTGTCAATTATCCAAGTGATAAGTATAAGTATACGTAGGTATGTATATATACATATGTATATATTATTGAGTGACAACCATGGGAGTGAGGTGGAGCGATGTTGATACGATGGTCATGTCGATGGCGATGTAAATGGCAATGTTGATGACAAAAGGGCTAAGAAGAGAAAAAAGCGTTGAAAAGAAGCATCTAGTTTTGCAATCAGAATCAGGTTGATGATATTTTGGCGGGACCGAGCTTGACCCAAATTAGAAGGATGGGCAGGTATATAGACAAATAGGAACCGGCACATGTATGTAGGCTAGGGACACCCGTAGTACACCAGCGATGGATAGCACAGAGGCAGTATAGATAGTGCATATAGTGGCTAAAGTGAAGGTGAAGAGTATGTTAGATGCTTTATTAGTGGCCTGCCAGGCGAGAATGATCCCCCAAAAACCTAAAAATGGGTTTCCTTTACAGGGCTCGGTGGGATGAAAATCGATTGGCCCCGGCTTATCATGGACCCATGAATTTGGGGCGTATGGGCTTGGAAAATGGCATAATATACGGAGGGTAAGCTTGTCACCAAGCTTAGGCATCCGCATAAACTTTAAATCCTATAACCTTATACCTTGATACCTCGGATCCTCTGATGCATCTCCTGCACGGTCGGACATGAGAAAAGGAGAACGAACTGCGCTGCTACTAGTCAGGGGTTTAAGTATCATAATCTTGTGTTCCATGGCAGGAAAGACCATTGCAGCCGGAGAAGTGTCTGTCATTTGGGGCTTTGAAATAGAAGACCGTATTTCTTTTCTATTGTGAGAGAAGTGCCTATCTATGACTTGCGGGGCCAAAGTAAGTCTTACAGTCTTGCAATATGCCGGATCGACGAGCGACCTGTTAATTAGGTAGTTGATGGTTGGAACTCTGCGCGATAAAAGATAGATTACACCGCCCTCAAGTATACATCCGAAGGTCAGTTGCCTTTCAAAGAGAGTATTTGAAAATCTTCCATCCCTCAAGCATTGAACTGTACGTGCTATGTCCGTCAGCCCTGCCATATCTTGTTTACCGCTTCCAACTAGCTAACGCTTATACTCTTCTCCAACGAAGAAAGAATACAACAAAGGAGGGCTCTTCGAGGACTTGGCCGTCTAGACTATGGTGTAACTGATGCCGACGTTTTTATGCTGCAGGTGCTCCAATTCATAGCATATCAGGGGATGAGGCCTTCAAATTCACCTCAAGAACGGCAGGCTGGTGGGCTGCTGAATTCAATCCTTATTGGCTCACATCCATGTTCCCCAAATCACTAACAAAAACCGGTTCGCCCGTCTGCTAACCTGGTCTTAGCTGACCGTTATGACCTACAATGATCTATTCTAGATTGGTAGGACAGTACATGAGGACACAAGAGATGCTTAATTACTAAGTATTCGCCATCAAAGCCCGGGTATCGATGGAGGTGGTGCAGGCTCCTTTTAGTTCCCCGAGGGAAGTATACATCCTCAATCAACCAGCTCATACGAAAAGGTTGCACTACCGGTGAGCTAAGGGAAGTGTATAACGGGCAAGCACTCGTTATAAAGCGTAAACGGTAGTATTTTCTTCAAAATAAAATCGAGACCAATGGGTGTCGACTTGACACACAAATCATATCCTTTTCAAGTCTTAAAAAAATAGACAATAAATCAAAGAATAACAAATCAAATAATTTGCCTTTAGAAGTTGAGCTTCTATGATCATCATTTGGTTCAGTTGATCAGCGCTCGATCGAGTAGGTAGGTAGGTACTCGTAGCTTCCGGCAGTGATGCACTAGTGGATAAAATGTGGGGTAAAAATTCATAAGTTGTTATCAAGTTTATCGCAGCAGAAAAAAAAAGTCTAGAATATCAGACTTACATTAATTCCCAACCTCATATCTACCAATTCTCACAACATCGCGCATTGATAATCCATCGCAATGTTCGCAGTTCCAGGATGGTCAGTCTCATCGAGTCTGCTAAAAACACAAACTGCAGAGCCTGTTGCTGCAGCGCCAAAAGGTGAAGAGGAAGGAGTGCCGGTTGAGACGAAATCCAGCAAGAAACGCAAGCGCGCAAAGAATCCAGATGTGAATGCAGCGAACTTGTCAGAATTGTGGGAGTCAGTCATTGAAGGCAAGCCAAAAACGAAGAAAGTAAAGAATGCTGGGAAGGATGGCGAAGCGAAAGAGAAAAAAGAGAAGGTGGTCAAGGAGACCAGCACAGATGGGATTCAGAATGAATCAGTAGAACCTTCGAATGATTCGGCAGAAATCTCGGAATCCAAAAATGAGAAGAAACAAAAGAAAAAGAAGAAGGATAAGGACTCGAAACCATCCGAAAATGATCAGTCCATGAAAGACGATACCCCCGATGCTACCTCGACCAAACTACCCAAGCCTGTTGCAAAGTTAACACCACTCCAAGCTTCCATGCGCCAGAAGCTCATATCTGCCCGCTTCCGTCACCTGAATCAATCTCTTTACACTACCCCTTCCTCCGAATCCCTTGCTACCTTTCAACAAAACCCAGAAATGTTCACCGAATATCACGAAGGTTTCCGCCGTCAAGTAGAAGTTTGGCCCGAAAACCCAGTCGATGGTTACTCTCTGCAGATTCGCCAGCGCGGTAAACTCAGACGGGATATGCGAGGTCAACCAGCCCAGGAGAAGACTGACCTAACGCCATTACCAAGAACAGACGGTACATGTCGAATTGCCGATTTGGGTTGTGGCGACGCAGCTCTCTCCACTGGCCTTCAAAAAGATCTCAAGAAACTCAACCTCAAAATCCACAGTTTCGATCTCCAAAGTCCCAGTCCCCTCGTCACTCGCGCCGATATCGCGAATCTCCCTCTCGAGGATGGAAGTATCGACATTGCGATTTTCTGCCTCGCACTCATGGGTACCAACTGGATCGATTTCATCGAAGAAGCGTTCCGCATCCTCCGCTGGAAGGGCGAACTCTGGATTGCAGAGATCAAATCCCGCTTTGGGCGCGTAGGGGGAAGCAATAAGAAAGTAGTCGAGCACAGCGTGGGACACCGCAAAAAGAACCAACCCATCAACAAAAAAGCCATCAAAGCCGCCGACGACGAAGCAGACGAGGCAGATCTCATGGTACATGTAGATGGCAACGAAAACAACAAGCAAGAAACCGACGTATCGGCCTTCGTCGAAGTCCTCAAGAAACGAGGCTTCGTCCTGCAGACCGAAAAGTCGGTCGATTTAAGTAACAAGATGTTTGTCAAGATGCATTTTGTCAAGGGCGCAACCCCCATCAAGGGGAAGTGCGTACCAATTTCCAAGGGTGCGCCGACGGGAGAAACATGGAAGAAGAAGCCCAAGGCTAAGTTTTTGGAGGAGCCGGAGGATGTCGACGTTTCGAACGAGGCGGCCGTGTTGAAACCATGTGTTTATAAATTGAGATAAGTTGGAGCAAAGGGTATGAGGGAGTCAACTGTGATTACTATGGCAAGTGATTAATCGCGTATATTTGGCATTTGCTTACCGACTTGCTTGATCTTAACGTCACATCACAAAGATAGCAGATATAAATTGAAGGAAAATAAATCATAATCACCCAGGCACGCATTTGCTATGCTAACGCCAGTTTTGCTATTTAAGATTCATCAACAGGCTGCATAATTCAAAATCAAGTCCTATGTTCCCGGACTCTGCTTCATATTGCCTGTTTTGCCTCCCTTCCACTATGTTAAGCCATGACCGGCCATACATAGAACGTATTATCTATCATCCTAACCTATCCCATCCAATCCCATTTTAACCTTGGAATAAAAGACCAGCCGCATACTGAACATCACCCCCACAAGCCGCCAACGCATTAACAGCTTCGTCTCGCGAGAATCCCAACGCTATAAGCTGATCTATACTCTCGGCTGGAAATGATGGCTGCTGCTGTTGGTGCTGTGGCGGAGCTGATGAAGCAGAAGTAGCTGGTGTATGTGCCGCAGCCTGGGGTGCTTGTTGTCCTGCCGAGGGCCCGGAAACGGCCCCCGATTTTGCCCCAATGGTCGTTCCTCCCGGCCCGGCAAGTTGTGGTTCATCGGCTCTCTCATCCTCCATATTCTTGGGAATATCGGCCTCACCCAAGAAGCTAACCTCGACACCCTGAATGATGAGTTTATCCTTCGACAGGTCTATACAAGCTTGATGTCTCTTCAACATATCCAAACCCAGGAGTAAATCGACATCTTTGCCTTCCATGACCGTGAAACTGCAAGGTAAAAACATGCTACCAATCTTAATCTGCGCCGAGTGTACTCGCCCCAAAATAGCGGCGGTTCCAACTCCTCGAGCTATTCCTGCGAAACGTTTATCTACAAGTCGCATTATGCCGCAATCTTCGGCACACTTAGGAGACATGATGGTAGCTTGGGCACCGGAGTCGACGAATGCTTTGACTTTATGCCCGTTGACCTCGACATCGATGTATAACATATGGACACGGCCGAATACTGTTGATTGTCCGGGTTAGAAGTTTGGCGCAGATAGACTAGAGCAAACCACGTACCTTCGGGATTATGCTCAATAGCATTTTGTAAATTCTCCTGCACTCGTTCTTCACGTATCATCTCCGCAATCCTCATCTGTGCCTCGATATCAAAAGGATCAGCATTTAAATCTGCAATCTGCTGTCTCCGCCTGGCCAACTCCTCTGCTTCCCGACTTCGCATCTGGTGAAGTATTGCCGCAAATCGCTGGGGGTCTTCGGCGGCAGCCGCCAGTTCTGGACTTTGACGAGCGACCTCTTGTCTCATTTCCGCATTGCCAAGCAACTGCAATCGAATCGTTTCTGGATCTGGTTGTTGTGCTTGACCTCCTCTACCTTGAGGCTGTGCACGAGCAGGCTGCGAAGCCCGATGAGCTGAAGCGGCAGGAGGAACCCGAGTTTCCCGAACGTGTAAGGCAAGCATTTCCCCGTCACCGATCTGTAATTGTTCCATTGTCTTATTATCGTCAATGAGCAGTTGTCCATTATGGTATAAATGTTGATCTTTCTTAGGGATGCGAGCTTCGGATTCGACCATTTCCTTCAAAGTGCCCACCGTAGTGTCTTGAGGTATTTCGAGAGATATAAGGTCCCCATCATCATCTGTAGGAGCGGTGATGGTCAAAGTGATACGCCTGGGTACATGAAAATCAGCATCAGCTTATAGAATGAGCACTCAGATTGTATCTTGGACGAACATATTGAAGATTGTTTTGTTGTGGAGCTTGAGTGGCGGTAGATATGTACTTCAAAAGGTATTGAAAGATGGTAGAAATTAGAATACGTTGTAAATATTATGGTACCTGAGTTTTGAAAAAAAAAAGTAATTGACTGTGAGTTAGAGGGTGAGAGGGTAAGAGGGGTTATTAACTATTTAGCTCGGAGCTTGGGGCTGTTCGACGAGGCTGACAAGTTTATTGATACGGCCTGAAGTAGAAGCGGACGGGCCTTCCTGCTCCGTCAAAAAATAGAATGGGGAAGTTTGTCTGTATCGCATATATCTGTAGCCTGGTGATTATGTACGGTACATGGCAAACTTTGAACATCTGTTCCTCAAAGAACGCCTAGTCTCATTTGTTTGTCTTTCCTGCGTTGGATACTCTATACGGATAGCATCCTTCTCTAATCTGCTGGCAAAGTCTTCGGCAGCAGGAAGGCTTGATGTGTCTTCAGTGGCAATGCAATGGCAGTGGCAGTGCTGTGCATTGAGTGCAGTGAGTGCAGTGCATATCAGCATGCTTTGATGAACTTGTTGTATTCCTAGGAGAGCTATGATGTTGAATATCGCATGGCATCATCAATCATGATACTCAAAATAGATGAAATAATCTACCAACGATCTACTAATTTACCTGGTACTTGGTTACTTTAACGCACTACCACCCCTACCCGCATCCACCCACAAACATGGCTGATAAAAGAGGGTAGCAGTTCTAGATTGAAACATCCACGTCAAATTGGTGACGAGTTCCCTCCTTGCAAGCAAGTACACTGGCCTCCTGCGGATCATGAAGGTATATAATGCGACAGTGACGATGAGATGTGGCAATTAAGAATAAGCGGGGACCTGTGTGCGTGCTTTGATGCTTTGGTGCTCGATTGCTGGATCTGATAAGAGATAAATATAGAATTCTCGGCGTCTGGTCTTGTATACACAAAGCAGATGCAGTGCTCCAGGTGAACCTCAGTAACGGATACTACCATATAAACGAAGAGCTTGTAACCTTATATCATGTCTGACAGTTGAAGGACTACCGGTACCGTCAACCTTCCCACCCAGATTTCAGTAGCAGTTGTATACGCATAGATGTTGAGATTGTCTAGAATAGTAATTGTGTATCTTAACTACTAGGGCCTAAGCATATATGAAGGGTATCTCAACAAGTATTAATTATCAGTATATTTCAAACCCGTATATCATATGTGACGGTCCAAAAGAAAGCTTCCTGGAAGTACTTGGTATATAGAAGCAGTACGTATGAGATGAATCATGAAGCGAAGTATATAGAAATCAAGGTTATACAAATAAGCAGTAATGACGATTGTCTAGGGCTCTAGTTCTAGTACCTACTTATAATACAAAGCAGGCACTAGACAGACACTCAGCCTTGTTCGAATTCGAAAAATAGTTCAAGCACATGAGCACATGATCTCAAAGCTGTTTGTTCTGTTGCCTTCTCTTTTGCTTCGGTTCTGCATCTACAAACTGTTTGCCTTTCTTCGCCTTTCTTTGCCGGTCCCGACAATTTACTCTCATCAGATTTCCATTTCAAACCCACATTCAATCAATATCAATACAATGAATGGATGCTCATGCAATCTCAAATATTATCAAGCATAAGGTTATCCGTGATTGGAACAAGTCGAAATTCCAATAACCACAATTAGGTTAGGTAATCGATCAAAATCTAGATCTCTCCCTGTAACCTTACCTGGTGTTCTCGGGTCCCATTCTAGCTTAGAAGTTGAAATTATGTCGGAGAGCGAACAACGTGAAGGTACACCTCAAACACCACCTATCTTGTCCGAGAGTCCCAATCCAGTCACGCCACGACAATTTGAAGATCAGCAAGAAGCTCAAAGAAGTTTTGTACTTGTACCTGAACATCAACAAATCAAAGGCTTCGAGATGTATTCCAATTCCCATCGGGATATTCATCCGTATACTCGTCCTCTGACCATCTCCGATCTGGAATCGGTCTTGACCCTCGAGAATGCCGCTTTCACAAATCCGGATGAAAGAGCATCTAGAGAAAAGGTCGGCATCGATATCTCAACTCCACTTCTTTGAAAATTTTGACGTGGCTAACCTTACAAACAGTTGAGATATAGACTTACCAGATGTGGTGAGCTATGCCTGGGCATCTTCTGCACTATGACGCCTGGCTCCGATCCGAAAATCGAGACTCTTGCCACAGGCCGCCCTGTTGAGACAAGTCGAAAGAATGGAGCGATTAGTGTACTGATGGGCCATGTTATTGCAGCCAAGACACATGACTTGACAGCTTCGGATGCATCAATGGGAGTTCCTGAAGGTTGGGAGGCTACCAAACCTCCACGTACAAATCTAGGCCATCAAGAGGATGGGCGTACGATAGTCCTTCACTCGGTTGCGATTTTACCTGCATTTCAAGGACGAGGTCTAGGGAAGATACTCATGGCTGCGTACATGCAGCAAATGAACGGTGCTGGAATCGCTGACAGGTTGGCTCTCATTGCACATGATGTAAGTATAGTTGCTCTTACTCGAACCATGGTCTATGAAGATGAATTGATTGCTAACATTTCATTTAAGCACAAATTAAATTTTTATAAGATGCTTGGTTTCATGGAGAAAGGGAAGAGTGAAGCTCAATTTGGTGGTGGCGGCTGGATTGATATGGTAAGTCAAATGTTCTTAAAACCTTTGGATATACTCTGACCTATGATAAGATTTACGAACTTAAGACACCTGAAGCAAGAATAGCTTACGGTTAGAGAGATACCCCTTACAAATTGGTGCACACAGGTCTTCCATTGTTACTTGAAGAAAGGAGCACATAGGAGTTTCAAATCTTAGTGAAATGGTATATTTACGGGTATCTTGATTTAGGAATTGTTAAACGGATATATCAATCGCTGGCCTTGTACTTAGCCCTGTATTCTTCCATATTCTTGATGTTTTCCTCTGACGCAATACCGTTGAGACCTCCAATGATATCGTCCAATGTCAAAATAGACAGAACCGGAATACCATATTCTTTTCTGATTTCTCCAATGGCACTTGGCATGGGTGCGCTATCATCTCCAGTTGGGGAAGGTAGTTTCTCCATACGATCCAATGCCACCAAGATGCCAGCTACAATCCCACCCTCCTTGCGGATCTTGTCAATGGCCTCTCTCTTCGCAGTTCCGGCAGTCACAACGTCATCCACAATCAAAACCCTCTTTCCCTTCAATGGAGCCCCCACGATATTTCCTCCCTCTCCATGATCCTTTGCCTCCTTTCTATCAAATGAATAACACATAGTATTGTACTTTGAGTCCAAATCTGCCAACTTATCCACCGTAGCTGTCGCCAGAGGAATACCCTTGTATGCGGGTCCAAACACAATATCGAAATCAAGTATCTTTGCATCTTGTGCCTCAATAATAGCCTTCGCATATGCGGTAGAGATAGCGCGAAGAAGGTCGGCACGGTAGAAATCGCCGGCGTTGAAAAAGTAGGGGGAGATTCGTTTCGATTTTAATTCGAAGCTGCCGAATTTGAGAACCCCGCCATCGATTGCGGCTTTGAGGAATTCCGCTTTGTAGGGAGAAAGAGTAGACATGTTTGACTTTTGACTTTGTATGGAAGTGGGAGATGCGTGAGGTTGAGGGTGCTTGTGTGAGTGGTACTCGAGGATTCTTGTGTATCTTGGAAGTTCGCAATAATGCCTATGTCATGGAGGGGAAATAAATTTTTTGGTCTCCCCTCATCTCATCGGACCGGATGCACCTAAAATCTTATAGTGGGGAATGAACGACCCTGAAAAATGAAGAATGGTAGAAATGGTTTCTATGGGGGAATTTAACTGTAAATCAATCCAACATTATCTTTTGCTTGAACTTTCAGTGCGGTCGGCGGATTGTTATTATATAGGTACTGAGATGTAATTACATGAAGATCTAAGTAAGGTTGTCACAGAGGATGGTTTATTGAATACCTAGGTATTGAGGATCAGCCTTCTCGACCCCTTCTCTCACATAAAGATAGATCGACGCCGTGAGATCTTTTGAGCCACACTATATGGAGATTCTGATATGGGTGTGTATGTACTTTAGTCGCCGATGTAATTCAACTTCGGCCTCTAGAAATGATCTAAGCAAAGACTTTCTTATAACCACTAAAGGCACATATTTCCTAGATCCTAGTATTCCATCCTTACCAGCTCAACTCATTTTGATATGGTTGAAGTGAAAGTAGTAACCTCAGGATTTACATATGATATTATGATATGAACGAGTCTGGATAAACTCACACCCCCTCACTCTCCAAATGGGAATTTCTCGGTAGCGATAAGCTACACTAGTGCGTTTATTCTCTAAGGCACTAAGCAAAAAAAATTATCAAATTCTTATCGAAAGAACTTCAAACCGAGTTCCTGAATATCCCCATCAATTACACTTCATTGATACCATTTGCCCATCATGAAGACCACATGGAAGGATATTCAACCAGTGCCAACCTCTCAAGAATTTCTTGACATTGTGTTGAGCAGAACACAACGTCGATTGCCTACACAAATTCGTTCAGGATTTGCCATTACCAGAATTAGAGGTACAAAATTCATTGTCTTCTCAGCGACGATAATTTTGACTAACGTGTGTCAGGTTTCTATACCAGAAAGGTGAAATTCACAGCGGAGACGTTCTCTGAAAAGCTCTCCCTTATTTTGGACGGATTTCCACGACTACAAGATATTCATCCGTTCCACAAAGATCTCCTCAATACTCTCTACGATGCCGACCACTTCCGGATTGCTCTAGGACAATTGTCAACCGCTAAGCATCTCATTGAAATCGTTTCTCGCGATTATGTCCGACTTCTCAAATATGGTCAATCGCTTTTCCAATGTAAACAACTTAAGCGTGCTGCCTTGGGACGAATGGCCACCATCTGCAGAAGACTTAAAGATCCTCTCTTGTATCTCGACCAAGTTCGTCAGCATCTCGGTCGTCTTCCGTCCATCGACCCAAATACTAGAACACTTTTGATCTGCGGTTATCCTAATGTTGGAAAGTCTAGTTTCTTGAAAAGTGTCACCAGGGCCGATGTAGATGTTCAGCCATATGCTTTCACCACTAAGAGTTTGTTCGTTGGACATTTCGACTACAAATACCTCCGATTTCAAGCAATCGATACCCCCGGTATATTGGATCATCCCTTGGAAGAGATGAACACAATTGAAATGCAATCTATCACTGCCATTGCGCATTTGAGATCTGCCATTCTCTACTTTATGGATTTGTCTGAGCAGTGTGGCTACACTGTTCAAGCACAAATGCAACTTTTCCAAAGTATCAAACCACTTTTCGCCAACAAGCTCGTTTTCATTGTCATCAACAAAATTGATGTTACACGCCCTGAAGACTTGGATCCCGAGACCCAGGCTCAACTCCAGGCACTACTCAAACCTGGTGACGTTGAGTTATTACAACTCTCTTGCACAACTGCTGAGGGGGTTCAAGAGGTAAAAAACGCTGCATGCGAGCGTTTGATTGCGGATCGTGTTGCTCAAAAGCTCAAGGCTGGTACAAACAGCAGTGGTGCTGTTGGTGGTAGATTGGGCGATGTTCTTGCAAGAATCCACGTTGCAAGACCTATGGATGGTATTGTCAGAGAATCTTTCATCCCAGAGGCTGTTTTAGCCAAGAAGAAGTACGACAAAAACGATCCAGAGCGCATTAAGCTTGCTCGTGATATCGAGGAAGAGAATGGTGGAGCTGGAGTTTATAACGTCGACTTAAAGGACAAATACATGCTCGAAAATGACGAATGGAAGCACGATAAAATTCCCGAAATCTTCGACGGAAAGAACGTTTACGATTTCGTAGACCCCGATATCGAGGCCAAATTAGCCGCCTTGGAGGCGGAAGAAGAGAAGCTTGAAGCAGAAGGATATTACGATTCTGATGACGATCTCGAAGATGCCGAGGACGCCGAGATCCGTATGAAGGCTAATCTCATCCGCGAGAAGCGCGAACTTATCAAGAATGAAGCCAAGATGAAGAAATCCCTCAAAAACCGTGCTCTCATTCCCCGCTCTGCCACACGCAAGAAGCTCTCTGAGATGGAAGATCACCTCGACTCTCTCGGACACGACACTACTTCCATTGTCGCGCGTGCACGCTCACAATCTAGAGGCCGCAGTCAAGTACGCAGCCGCGCACAAACTGAAGATGCTATGGATATTGATGATCCTGATTATGAGGCCAAGATGCGCGCCAAGAGCAGAGCAAGAAGCCAGGCCAACAGAAGAGATGATGGTGTCGCAGGAAATGAGGAAGCCAGGACAAAGGCTGAGCGTGCTCAGAAACTTGGCCAGAGAAAGATGAATCGTATGGCAAGACAGGGTGAAGCCGATAGGCATGTTGCTGGTGTCAGACCAAAACATTTGGTATGTTTATTTCCCTCTCAACCCCTAGTCACTTTTATATTTCTTACGGTGTCTCAAAATGGCCCTTTCAAACCCTATATTAAGTACCCTTCTAACACATGTGCGAATAGTTCTCCGGCAAACGCAGCATCGGCAAAACAAACAGTCGTTAAAATACCCACTGACATTCAAGGCACAATTCTATTTCAAGCTTACTATAATGGAATTATGCATGGCGTTTTGGAGGGTTTGGGGAGGGTTCTCTTTGCTCATTTACGGCATAATGTATTCAGATGTAACAGGTGTTGCATTACGTACCAAAAGCAAAAGAGACAATGATGAACATGAAAAATCTTGCAACCTAAACAAGAAATACTTCCTGTCGCAATAATATTTCGCTGCCATACTATGAATGTGAAGAACATCAAGCATTGCCCAGGTGGTTACCGGTATCCAAAAAATTTGCCTCAATATCGTGCGATGCGTCCCCCCTTAATGAAATACACTCTCGGAGCATTCGGAGCTTCACCCGTCACCGCGCATCTCATCTTTTCTACAAGTACGTACAAGTACGTAACCTACTCCGTAAACTAAGCGATGATTGATGACCAATACTCCGAAAAGCAGAACACCACACACACATACACACACCTCACGGAGTTTAGAGTTAGTTAGAGTTGGAGTTAGAGTACATCCTATGATCTGGCTAGCTATGATATATATAAAATGAAGCAATTAATTGCAGAAACACCCCGCCCTTTTTCATAAAATATCCCATCTAGAGGAAATTTTTCTGATTGTGGAGTACTAGGAGTGGGAATGGAATGGAAGTGGAATGGAGTAGAGTGGGAGTGGAATGGGAGTGGAGTTGATGATATGATATGATATGATTTTATTTATTTGTTTATTTATTTATTGGGAGATGGAGAAACTGATGGAGATGGAGATGGAGGAGGCAAGATGAATGAATGAATGATTCTCGGTAAACTTTGAAGTTTGAACTAATTACTGCGTAAATACTGTACGGACGGAGTACGGAGTAACCTTACGGATTGCAGTAGTCGTCTCGACTCTACTGCCGTCTGTTTTCTGCCTTTTTTATACTTTGAGTGCCGAGTGTGTGGTTTGTGGTTTGTGGGTTCCCGGTTGATGTGTTCATGTGTGTATGTATGATTTCTAATTGTTGTTAGCCGATAATTTTTGATGGGATGGATGTGTTTGGAATTGGGTTAATTAGAGATCGGGGAGTTAGAGATTAAGAGGGGTGGGAAAGGGGGGTTAGAGATGAGATGTACTATTTACTATTTGCTAATTTACTATTGTTGTCTTTGTATATGTATCTGTGTTTTCTAGTCGCTAGCCAGTGGCTCTAACTTCGTATATAAAATCACATCATAAAACATATAGAGAGATTTTTTGATACTCCTGTTATGGAGTTGTGCTGGCCGGTTAATCTTACTAGTGAGATTAGCTATAGTGGCTTAGATGGGTATCTTTTGTATTCACATCTTATAATTAGCTATGGATCATTAGGAGTCGTATAGAGGGGGAAATATATGGAATGATATGATATGATATGGTATCATGAAATTTCTCATACGAGGTAAGATTATACCGAATCCATTTCCCAAGCAGAAGATAAGCTTACACAAGCCACAAAATGGTATGTATGTTCATGAAACAGAGCCACAGAAGTTAAATTAGAATCGCATGTCTTGTCGTTGATTGAAGTAACTTACTAAAGATGTCGGGATTTTAAGGTCTTTGTTTCATGTGCCGAATTTTAGTAAAGAAAGGTTGAAGAGAAGTAGATAGCCGACCTAATGGCTTATATAATGGCGGCTGTTGGTTAATTATCCCGACATGCCAGAAATAATCATCTAAATTCTTTTGCTTTTGGTGTCCAGATCGGCCATCGATATTGGTGACATGTGGCGCTCCACGGATCGCCGGTAGCAATGGCAATGAACAATGTTATTTTCAATATTAGGAGGGGTGCTAGAAACGCACTCGTCTGGTAGATCTTGCAGATCATCAACGATGCCTTGCACGTGGGAGACGGAGCATTGCGCTCGATTTAAAAATGCACAGACATTATGCAGGAATGTATCTAAAGCCTAAGTATCCAAGTATCGATTTCCTCGTCGTGGATAGTGCTCAGCGTGGATGTGAGCTACGGGAAGAGCTCTTTATTTTATTATTCTTATCAATCGACAGATATATTATTGCAATGGGTGATAGGGAACATGAAACGCCAAATTTATCGGTAGCGAGTCCAGTCGAGTTGCTCAAACCCCGCATCAATTCTCCCTAGGCCCTTACGTGTGGTGGCATGGAGAGATGGCAGCTCCGCTGAGGAAGAAGGACAAAGAAGTCAAATCGTCGAAAAAGAGAATGGCTGATGGTGTGCCAATGTCCAGAGCATGATACATACTATATCCAAGTGTTGTTTTGCTAGGAGTTGGTCGGGATTCATAGAAATGTGATAGTCGCATGCTGTCTGATATGTAATCATCGAAGCAGATTTTGCGTGGCTAAAGCTCTGCCTCGGAGAACCTGAATTATCACAACGGTTTTCTGTCATTCATGGACTTCGGTCTATTCAATGCCATTTAGCTGATCATGTAACCAAAAATCTAAAGACGGGTAACTTCCTAGGGAGAATTGCGTTGCATTCGACCCAGGTCTTCTAATTCCTTTTCAGTAATAATTAAGATACCCCCAATAGATCCGGACGATTGGTATAAAGCGATTTATGTGGTTGTTGATCCTTTCATGATATATTTCTACAACCTGTAACATAATCCTGGGGCAGAAGATAATCTCCTATACATTCATTCTCGTGGCAATGGGTTTTGCGTCCATCCAGGAACGAAAAGGGACGTGCGCTCACAAACATCAGACTTTAGATTAAATGACAAACTCTACAGTTAGTAATGCAGTAATTCCATAACTCGAAAGTTCTTCCAAATCGGATGCGCTTAGCATGTAAGCAGCTCTATTGGCTCAACTTTATGCATGCCTAGCCTGCTGTCGTCTTCCGCACCTGCCCGGAAAATCCGACGATAGTACTAAGAAAACCGGAGCACTGGGTAGCTAGGCCGTGATGGGATTTCTTTCTATTGTTTTCCAATAACACGGGCCGTGTTATCACGGCTGAGCATCAGAAACTTGTAAATCCTGGCCTTTTTGATATTCGTCTCTATATGCACTGTCTTGTGATCGAAGGGGTACCGAACATCCGAGCGCATATCTTTATCGTATGATATGGTGGGGGCAGAGCAAGTAAATGTAATTTGTATCTTCAAAGTGGGTCGAATTCCAATTACTGGGTTGTTCGATATATTCCACCGGTGATGCTCAGTTGTGCCATCAATGAACCACAGAACCTCAAGTATGGTAATTCCCCAGGTCGACCGTTCCAAAATTGGTAGATTCATGGTTTCCATTAACCACCATCCAGTAAGCTTATAATACGTTTCCTCCAGTATATGTTTTCTAAGGCAAGAAACATGATCTGCTTTCCTTGTGGTTCGATGCGATCTCAACATTGCTTGATGTATTTTAGGGGTGTGGTTCCAATGAGCCGGTTCGACTGTCTGGCTCCACTAGTATACCTAATGTATGTCGTAGCTCGGCTACCCACAGGGTAAATAATTAGTTGAAGATCTTTGCTGTAGTCCTAAAATCAGCGGCCCAAGCCAGTATAGATTTTACTTCTCGGTGTTGCCAATGTCATGTCTAATACAACATGCAATAGTGTTAAACATGCAGTCAGCAGAATATTCCATACATGTATTAGATTACCTGTAGGTCATAACCTTAGATGAAATAGCAAGGTTATTGCTGTAAGTGACAACCACTAGTGGTCATTGTATACCTCATTCTTGTTTTCAAGCCACACCCTTACCAAGGCTTCATAGCCTGGTTACAAATAGCGTAATGTTCGCCCTTGCCAACAGGAACTGATATTTGCTGGAATAATAGACGGACACAGCAGAGAGAGACTGAATGCTCCTTCAGGGTGCATCGTAACCTGGTTGTGTCTGTCTCTATAGTAAGACTGCTTCGAATCATCTAGGAATGGCCAAGTGCCGAGCTGGACAATTAACCTCGCGATCTTAGCCACTAGTAGCGCTGAAAACATATTGCAGTGCTTGCAAAGGTGGTGTGCCACTCAATGTAAATTTGAAGCATTCACTGCCCCGCTTCCAGTTGATTGGTGAGCTCGGGGAAGTAGTAGAGTACCCGCGCTGGCTTTTCATGTTTTGAGTTCCATCAACGTGGGACAGAAAGAAATTTACTAGTTTTCAAACCTTGCAGGAAACCTTGCATGACTAAAAGAACCAACCGGCGACCTTCTTGTTGAAGACCCATAAATTAATCAACAAATTCGATAGGCTTGCGTTTTTTTTAGCTCCTCGATCAGTCTGAAAGAAGTGTGCCGCGGGAGACGCTTTCAATAGGCCTCGTCATTGTTCTTAAATGCCGTTTTGGTTCTTGATATATGTGATGCATACCATGAATCCACTCCTATTCACGGAGGAATAGATAGAGGCCGTTTGGAGCCTCCGGACATGGAAACAACTGCTTATGCCTGCAGCGCACAAGGTTTGAAAGAGGTAGCGAATAGTAGACGGAGATGCATGGATGTTTCTACTGGATGAATATACAGCATGAGGCATTCTGGTAGACCAGATGAAGCATCGTCTGATTGGCTAATTCGCTTGAAAAACTAATCTAAATATCGAACTTCGATACATATATTATGCAATTTTTAACCCCCACCAGTTTCCCCAGAGCAGACTTTTCATCCAAAGCAACAAAAGTACGAAGCTGGTTATCAGGCCTTGGAGAAGAATCAAAATGGCGAGGTAGGCTCTCTATACACTGTATGTCCCAGAACAATGAATCGCTAAGGGGGAAACTCTCAACCCAGCCATCCAGAATCTCAAACAGTTGAAGTAGATAACGCCTATTTCGAAACAGTCATATACTACAACCGGCACTTCCAGCAGTATGCCATAACGAACTTATCTTATTTTCAGCCTGTCGACGAGGTAAAAGGACCAGGTGGCACAAAATACTCTGAAGAGATTGAACTAAAACATCTGCGCAGGACGAACTAGAAAGGCTGCGCGTTTGGCATGCAGTCTTGAATAGAGTATTTGATAATCGTCTGCTATTCCCCACTTTGGGCAGACCTAGAAGAATTTTGGACTGTGGCTACGGAACAGCCAGCTGGGCTATCGACGTTGCAACACAAAATCCTGGATGCGAGGTTTTCCACCCAACCCTTTCTTCTTCAGCACGATGACGCGGCGGCATTTTGTTTCTGAAAGCTAAACTGTAGTGGAGGAGGATCCAGATCCTTCCAGTAGATTGGTCTGGGCAGATGAATGAGCATCCTTACAGATGTGGAAATTATCGAAATAGTTCAGTGCTGATGTTTGTGCAGGTTATAGCAATTGACATCTACCCATACCAGCCGGAAACAGTTCCGGAAAACTTGTATCTGCAAGTGGACGATCTCAACAATCGGTTCGTACTCGAAAGATAAAAGGTGGAATATGTCTGATAACGTCGAATAGATTCACTTTTCAAGCCCACAATTTTGATCTCGTCCATAGTCGATTGATGACTGGCGCTATACATGTGAACAGATGGGCTGGTTATCTCCGTGATATGCTTCGTGTGCTCCGGCCTGGAGGGTGGGCTCAGTTGGTGGAACTGTATCACAATGTTCAGTCAGACAATGGGAGTCTCACGGACGGTGAGTTTCTCCACAGTTATGACCCGAAAAGGTTGAAACTAATCGAACCAAACGATAAGCCCATGCACTTAGGCAATGGAGCACCAGGTACATCGAGAGCTTGAATGGTGTGAAGGATCTTCGTGTCCCGCCCCGGCTCCCAGATATGATGCGAGCGGCAGGATTTGTCGACATTGAACATAGAATGATTCCACTTCACACTTGTGGCGTAAGCTTTTATTTCCACTTAGTTCAAAAATTTAGGCATTGTGGGAAAGTTTCCCGAGTAATGCTGTCTCATCTCGACTTGAGAATGAAGACTTTCCTTATGTATATATATATATATTCCTTAAAGCTTATATGGTGACGGTGAAAGACTAACTAAAAGTAATTTCCAGTGGTCAAGCGGTCAGTAAAAAAGAATTGGGCAGATAAGTACGCTAATAACAATTACAACAGACCCCAGGGAGTATGAGATTGGTACTGCCAACAGAGCAAACGTGCAACAGTTTTTAAGTTCCATTGCGCTGTATCCATTCGCGGAAAGGCTAGAGTGATTATCTCTGCTCCATTTATTACTGCTGTCAGATCTGACGAATGTTAGAATGCCGATTCAAGATGTCCAACTTCTTGTAGCACAAGCTCGAGTAGAGGCTGATGACCCATTGCTGAAGGTGAAGGCGAATTCCAGACGTCCTGAAGGGTAGTCGTTGCTAACCTTTCGCTTTCACAGGCATACTTTCCGTTGTATGTGTGCATCGGGAGAAAACCGCGCTTGCGTCGATAGGTCGTGGGCGTCGAAGTATGTTTACAGATATATACACGGGCACTTATGTAGTTTGAGGCGCTGAGGAACTATGCAGTACAAATTGAACGTCAGCAGGGAGAAGGGGGAGGGGAAGTTGGTCGTGGTCAGGAGTCTGAAGAATTGAATGGAAAGAATCCCCACTGTCTTTTTCAGCACTCTGAAGATTGAACGTACCTGATCGGTTCTTACAGCAGCCGTTCAAGTGGCAGGCCTCATTGTGAAAAATATGTAAGGGATTATTGAAAGTTTGTGATGGTGAGGTCGTTGGTTATGTGAGGCACTTGGTATATGTTTATCGTGTCGTGAGTCGCCCGTTCTTTCCATGTTGAGTGAGATGTAACCAGTTCGACTGGATTTTCATTGGCCATTCTTTCTATGACTTATTTTCAATAACAAATCATCAAATATTGTCAATTGTAGGGTCTTCTCGGCCTGTATGTGATGAAGAAGGAATCAAGATGCTCAGCAGAAGCCGGGTCACTTAAGCCTTTCGAATTCAACCAAGATAATAATTGGATAAATTATTAGATTAGAGATTGCTCGATGCAAGTGCTTTGAAGTTTGACGGATTCAGAAAAGGGTGACAAGCTGAACGCGTGGATAGCTCAATAATCTTGAAGGGATACGGCTGCAAGGCAAATATATTGTCCGGGCACCGCTTTTCCAAAAATCTTCAAGGATAATAACGTTAATAAGTGTTGGTTGAAACTTGACATGAATCTTGAGGTTCATATATGCTTCTTACAAAATAAGTCGCTACCAATACATCGGGATTTTTCACAGGCACCCTCGGTCCTAGTACCAGGGTAAAGAAGCAAGAAATATTGAATACTCCGTAAGTTGTCATCCCCAGATAGGAAATGATACAGGAATCCCGGTAGATACATTTCAAAATCCAATGCCATTTTTAATGATGTGCTAGCTACAACCAACAAACAATACTACGCAGTTGACCTTTGCAAGCTTAGTCCTACGACTACTACTCTTCCTACTCCTCCTACTACTACTCTCTTTATTAGCCATGCACTACTAGGTAAGAGCCGTGAATGGGGGGAATGTAATGACATACCCGTGTTAACCAGCCCCCGTTCTTCGCAGACTGAGTGGCCCTTCCCTATGAGTGTGGGTGGATATTCATAGTAAATCTCATGGGCGCTGCGTCCGTCTAGGTCCGTCCCGCAGGGAAGTTAAAGCCGACGGCTATGAGGTACCAATTAGACACGCAGCTCTTCGGCCCGCGTCTTAGGTATGTTGCAGTATCTCACATGCACGTCAGAATATATAGTTCCCGAGATAACCTTAGAATTTTCCGCTTGTATTTAGCCTGAAGAACTTATGTTGTTTTCTGAGGAGATGTCCTTGACTAATAATAACCGATTCGCTAACAGTTGTATTTTCTCTTTAGATAGACTATGAACCTATGAACTATGGGTCAAGGGGCAAGGACCAATTTAATCATGTTACACGAATAAAGGCCTAGACAGGGCCAAGACAGGGCCAAGAGTCCAAGACAGGACCAAGACAACGTAGCATGGTAGGAGCCAAGGGAGCATATCCCAGTAAATTGGTGCATATTTCAGCCAATCAAATATCAGACGTCAATGGGGCTTTTAGATGTTGTGCATGGAAAAGTATCACCTAAATGCCCAATACCTGGAAATGAGAATTCTAAAGCTATTCTAGCCCCGTGATAAGACAAACGCGCAATATCCAATATCTGTGATACTTTGCCAAGGTCTTTTACGAACAAAGGAATAATTCACACATTCTGATATACGCTATGAATAAGTAAAAACGGCTAGGAAAAGAGAATTACATGTGTGTTTATTTATACGACCCTTTACGCCAACGCCCTCGCCATGTATGTCAGGCGCACCCCCAAAAACCCCCAAGGATATTATTATACATCACGGATTCTCCCGTGGAGGGGTTGACGGTTCTCCACTACCCCAAACGTTTTCGAACGCCTCTCCATCCACTCCGTATTTAGGCTTCAATAACACACTTGCCTCCCGAGCCTCGTTCCAATGGCGCGACTCCTCCGAGTCATCCCGAGTACTATTATGATCCTCGTTCCCATCGACTGCAAACTCGTCGAGACCTGGTTTAGGATCGACAGCTTCTACATCATCAGTAGGCTCGAATCCTTCTCGGATGTCCTCGCCCGTGCCGTCTCCATATGTTCGTCTTCAACAAATCAGCCCAGAATTCTAATTTGATGAAAGGATAACTTACACATAGCGTCGAGGCTCAGCGGCATTCCACCCGGCACTTCCTTCTTTTCGAGCCCGAACTCTTTCGGTTTCCTCTGCAACAGTGTCTTCGACAATGACATCAACTAATTGGCTCCTATCGGATTTGGCTGAACCCGAGGCAGATGAGTGTTGTCGCAACATGCCTTTAAGCATCGGCGCTCTTCCCTCTTCGTGAAGAGGAGAGTTTTCTTTATTTTTGCCTTTAGAATCTCTGCTGTGACTATTTCTCGAGGACTTTCTTTTTGTTCGGCTGGTGACATCCTCAACTGTCTCTCTAATGTTACTAGCCCTTCGAATACGATTGTCGTTAGTAGGTTGGAGAAGGTTGCGGTTAGCTGAAGTAGTCAAAAGATCAGGTTGCGCAGTGAGCCATCGTTCTCTTGAAGCTTCATGAGCTGTGATTACTGGATACTACAGATAACGAGTTAGCTTTGAAGAACTAGTAGGTAACACCACTCACGTTCCAATCTCCATATTCCAGCTGTCTGGCTCTCTCGTAAAGCCCTTCTTCGTCGGCATCTAAGCCTTGTTGTTCCATTCCACCATCACCCCACCCCATATAGTCAGAATCACCATCACGGGGTTGCATAGGGGATCTGGTTCCAGGAGATCCAGCATTGTTACCAAGCAATGGTGTCCTCGCATTTGCTTCTCCAGGTTTTGGAATCCAGTATTTTCCTTTCCCGCCACGCTCGTATCGCATACCCTCCATCATTCGAGCTACTCTTGACGACGACCCTTCATGAGCTAAGACATTATCTCCGGAATCAAATAGCCGGTATTCATATTTCTTCCCACTGAATGTTTCTTTCGTATCCTCGATAAGATCACGAATACCAAAAGCATCCCGAATAGCGTAGCGGACAGGCATCCTAGCTGCAGAGATAGTGACATCTGCATAGTCATGCCACGAAAATGCATACCAATGTCCGATTGCGAAAATAGGCATCTCAATACAGATCAATGCATCCTGGATCGCTGCAGCGAGACTGTCGGCCGTGTAATCCTCCACATTGTCCGGAATTGCTCCAAGAAAGACCAAGATCGAAAGAAGAAATCCTTGCCAGTATGAAGCAAATATGATGAGCTTAATACACAAGAACTTCGGCACGGGACGAAAGGGTTGTAAATCCTTAGACATGATAACCCAAAACATCCCGAGAGAATATAAACTCAGTGTGACACTAATATTGTAGATAATCCCACTCCACATGTAACCAGAACTTAAAGAAATAGTACCTTCTTGATAAACACCCGTAGCTTTCATAATGATAGCTGAAAGTCCAAGAAGAGGCTTCAGCCAAGCATATTGTAGAATTCCACGTTTGATGGCCAAGAATGTATGGGGATCTGATATATCGACCTTAGGGAAGACATGATTTAATGGCCAAAGGTGATGAACCGGTGCTCGTCCATGCATCATGATGATCAAAGATCGTTCACCTCCGAGGAAATTGATAAGGAGTTGAAAAAAGGTGTAAATTGTGAAAGCCTGCTAGCACTTAGTTCCGCGGCACTATCATCTAGAAACTTTAACCCACCTCGTATACGTCACGAATAGGATCGAGGAACAGCGCTGCTTCCCTCGACACAAGACTGGTCCATGAAGAGATTGAGTATATCGGCACCCTAAGCATGCTTATTAGAACAGGAACTTTGAATGTGATTGACAATTTCAACCACGTACATAAGTAGGATTCGAATAACATAGCGTTGCAGAAGGGGCTTCCGATAGTTTTTTCTACGAACGGTTAGACATATAATTTGTTCCTTTATTGTATAATATATAACGTACGTCTGCAACCAAACTGACCTGTTAAAGAGACATTAGCTTTCGAGCAGATGAACAAGGTGGTCGCTGGCAAACATACACGATAGAAAGTATAGACGCTAGCAATGCAGCAGAACCAGCTACCACAATTGTTGCATTTGTCAACTTCTCGCCGGTACCACCAGAAAGATCACTGTTTCCTGCCATCATCCTGAAGGATGAAAAGGTATCAATGAAGTTAGCACACTCTTGTGGTCAAGATAATCTGTGGCGAGTGGATTCGAGCTTGAAGGTCTCAAGTTGTGCGACTGGCATGATCTGCGAAACTCTCCTTCATACTGTGAATAATGAATGATAAGTCTAGTGAAGGTTACACTCTTTGCAATTTAATTTGCTTTGGAGCTATTTACACGGTAAAATAGGTAGACTGTATAGCTTGTCCACAGAACCAGAAGGCGAAGCGTGCGTAATTATGCCAAGGCGGTGGGAGCTTTCTAGAGCGGCAAATGCGGCCGGCCCCTATCACTTCCACTTCATGCGATATACTATTCAATATTTTGCGCTTCATCAATTCAACGAAAGAAATTGATGCAACTTTGACCACTTCAGCTGCCAGAATTCTGACTTAGGGCGCGATCAGTATCAAAGAGAAGGTTCGGACATATTGGAGAGACAATGCAACGCGTAGCATGGAGGCCGGAATCTTTGCAGTCGTGAGCATTTCAGTCGAAGTTGCATAGGACTCTACATAACCAAAAGGACATTAAAAAATGGCGAGCAGTAGTGGCTTGACGGCGTCCCCTTTGCGACCTGATTTGGCCTTCAATTGGTAACTCTTTGCATTCCTGGCGTAAGAGAAGCTAACTAACAGTTTAGGGTTTTCCTTATTGAGTTGATTGTCTGTGGAATTGTGTAGGTCTTATGCTGAGATTTGGTACGGCATAGCTAATTTCGATACAGTACACTGTTCTTCCTTTTCTATTTCAATCGCGTCTTCGCTGCCGTCGTATCATGGGGTCTTCGAGTGTGGGCATGGCGTCAATATCGAGTTTACATCGACATTCAAGCTTTACAAATCTCCCTCCTTGGAGGGCGCGTGTTCTTGAAGGGTGTTAGATATCATGGCAACAATGAAACTATATTGATACAGAATGGATATATCACATGGACATATTGGCTTCGCAACGTGAGGGAATTGGATTTGGGGAATGATGATTTTACCAAGGAGCATGAGTCGACGGTTAATACTGATATTGGTCAGGAAGGGGTCCCTAAAGAAAATAAGAAACTGCCGTGTCGAATCAATGTCGTCTTGCATGGAGTCGAATGGTTTGTATACAACCGAAGTGCGGCATACGATGCCATTATTTCTGGAATTGCCGGGGAGCGTGAGAAATCAGATCATGTCGCGCATAGCCATGGGGATGATCCCTCTCAGCACGTGAGGTTAAGGAAGAAGGGCATTGTAGATGATCATGGGAATGCAGGAGATTTGTCCAAAGAGGCGAAAAGCGATTCTCCAACCGGCTCCTCTCATATGGAAGAACAAGTTGAGATTGGAACACCTCATGTAGAAGGGAAACCCGATAGATCTCCAGCGCGCTCCCAAACAGTCGATGCTACAGGAAGTAACTCATCACATGCTACCGTGGAATCAACTTTCTTGCTTAGGTTTCTCCCCGTCCACGTTGATTGTTCCAAAGCTGCATTGGTACTAGGAAATGAAAACACCAAGAGCGTGCTCGTTGCTAAGATGGACAAGGCCGAGGGAGAGCTAGACGCCTCGGCGTCCACCAAACTGGATCAATATAGACAGCTCATAAACTTTCGCTTCCACCATCCCGTAATACAAATGCAGCCGAATCATGACTACAAAGAAGACCAGACATCGGCTGCATGCCGAATTAAGCGCGGCGATCACGATCATTCGGACGCCGGTGCACATCGCGCCCATTCTCACAACTTTTTCCATCGCCAGCGCAAAAGAGCATGGCATACTATTCAAGATCTCGTACCTTACTTTAGAAGTTCTGTGGAGTCTTTCTCGTCTATTCATGACAGCCGCTTAAATTCACCTACTCAAGGACGCCCTAATCCAGGCAACTGGCAAGGACTTTCGAGATATCTAGATGAGAGTGAGCAGGAGGACAAGGCACAGTGGTCCTCGAACGAATATGCAACAGTCACCACTATAGCTGATAGTCCTAAGGCAACAATGAACTTTTATTGGGATGTCCCAGGCAAGGTTCAACGACGTAGTGAAGTGTCAAAATCAACATACAATAATATCAATGGCGATGTCCCCCCTGAATGGGGGATTGAACTGTACTTAGAAGGGGCAATTATTAATTACGGTCCTTGGGCAGATAGGCAGCGTGCAGAAATTCAACGGGTTTTTTTTCCAAGCCTGTGCAAAGATGCTTCTCCTGCCGAAATGATTGAGCCTGGTGAATACAGAGTCCCAACACAGTTCAAACTTTACATCGAGCTTGACCACGAGACAACGCTTCGAGTGCCAATTAGAGAGGAATCGAAGAATTGGAAATGGATAAAGCAAGCAGATACCACGGGTGCCCGCCAAAGCGAACGGAAGCGGACTAGTAATAGAGGTCGCAGGAGGAAAGATGATAAGGGCACCAATGGACCTGAGATCCAGGTTCGCCCGTTTGGTTGGCTTGATATTAAGGTTGGTGCAAATGCGACAGTTCGGTACCTTATGGATATGGTTGCAGGGGAGTCTGGATTTTCAAATAAGCTCCGATTGGACCTGCCTAACACTGAGATCACTACCAGTGTTAACCACGGCCTACTATGGAGATCCAGTGGGAACGTTATAAGCTGCGATATGTCAAACCCTTTGCAGTGGAATGGTTTCCGAACATGGAAGTTCGATATTGGTAGTCGCGGATTGGAACTTTTCATCTTGAGGGAACATGTCTTCCTCCTCACAGATCTTGTTGCTGACTGGGCTACCGGGCCGCCGCCGGAATATCTGACATTCACGCCATTTCGGTACTTGGTGAATCTCAATCTTCAAGGGTTTAGACTCTACCTCAACGTCAATGACTCCAATATAATCAACAATCCTGCCGACTTTGACGATAATACTTTTATCATCATTTTCGGAGAATCACTTATCGCAGACATTTGCATTCCAATTGATACCTTTCGACCCCACCGAAATGATATATCATTTGATGTTTTGGCTAAGCAGGGTGGTTTGAATTTGCATGTACCTCCATGGAATACGCAGGCGACCTTTGTTAATTCCACAGAAATAGCCCAACTCGACACTTTGAAACTTGGTGGGAAGTATCAGTATTGTGCAACAACTTCGTCTAGCAATACTGATACACTTATACTTGATGTGTATGGTAATGGGGCTACAGCTCAATTTTACGGTTTCGTTCTACGATATTACCTTAAGGTGAAAGACAATTATTTCGGCGATGATATTCACTTCAGAACCTTGGAGGAACACCAAGACGCCATTCGTGTAAAAACCGCTAGCAGCCAAGAAGCCACAAATGTTCAACCTCACAAGAAGAGTAATGATTTGGATGTGATCTTGAGCGTATCAGCCGACGAATCTAGTGTAATTTTGCCCGCAAATTTATATTCCGCAAAGAGCCATGTGCGCATAGATATTGCGACATTGGTTGCTGATCTCCGCTTCACTAACTACTACATGGACCTGGATGTAGAGCTGAGCACATTGGCCTTCTCCTTGGGTACGGAGAATGATGGTAGAATGTCCCTTTTGAGCGCAACATCTGGAACCCAACTTTTCGTGGACGGTCTTAACATCTCAGGCAATCGCCTTTTTGGTTTACCTCCTATTGAACCAACTTATGTCTGTAATTGGGATTTTGCAGTAGGCGCAATCACTGGTGAGTGTACAAGTGAGTTCTTTGTGCGATTACTTGGAGGGGCTAAGGCGCTTGCATTTTCCTTCGATGATGATGAAAATGCTCTACCACTCACTGCTGAGCTATTGTTGCACGACGTAACTTTTCTTCGCGCCTCAGTCGATTCTATTCGCATTTGGATACATGTTGAAGAGGCAGCCTTTCTTTTTTCTACCTCCAAGATTACTCTCAATTTTGATGATTGGGCTGGATCTCACTATTCCAAAAAACTGGATCTTCAAATACCAAACTTGAACATTGGCTGCGTTGACGCGGAATCAGCGTCAAGGCACAGGTCGAGAACACAACATCCTGTGGAGACGCACGGCCTTATTCAGACAACCATCTCCTTTGGAATGATCCAGAAGAAGCTTGCGTTTGTGGAAGATCGCCGATTGCAACAAGAGCACTTAAGACGCCATGATAGAAGAACACACAGAACCAACTTCCTCTTACATGATTATGTTGCGACAGATACAGAACGAGACAATGTCGATCCGCCTGCTATGTGTGTTCCGCCAATGCCTCCTCCAATATTCTGCAATGATGGGCTTAGTCAAAACAGGTCATATACGTCTGAAATTTCCTCCAAGGTATCGTCGGTGCGCAGGAATCGACCTGAGACGGGGCGTAAGAGTTCGTTCTTGACCGCTTCTAGTTCAAGTTTCAGAAGCGATCGGAGCATTCTTCGACCCCACTCGTTCAATAATGAGGTAACATCGATTTCGGCTTCCCGTTCCAGAAGTATACGGGCCGGTCAATCTCATCTCAGGGATCTTTCTGTCTCAACCGGTCGTCAATCTTCATTCTACAGTGCTGTCGGCGAGCCCAAAGGCCTCCCACCTTCCAGCGTCACCTTCTCAAGCTCCTACATCGCACCATACTTTCCACTCGCGGCCGTGGAACCAGACCTTAAGGATCTTCCAGTCCTGGATCCCGAAGCCCAAACCGAAAATGCCATGAGATCACCTAGCATGAATCTAGGAGATATACAGCCAGATCGAGTTGGCCAGGATGCGACCCACGTCAGTTTTATCGTGGAAATGCCTTGTGGCATCAAGGCAGTGCTCAGCCCGAAGGCTGTAGGAGCTGTTGCGGACCTACTTTCAGCAATACAACCCGTAGATCCTGTTGATATGATAGACGATCTACAGATCAGTTCTATTGGTGAGATATTTGGTTTGGAGAAGAAAGACAAAATGAATGGCGAGGTTCTCGATATAGCTGTGCGGACTCCAGGCATATGTCTTCGCTTCTTAAACTCACCAGACGCGCATGACTCAAGCAGCGGGGAGAATGATATGCATGATCAGTATGACCTCTCTTTTTCGCAGCTTGCTATTACTGCAAGAAATGAAACCACTGGAACGTCGAATGCCCTTGCTTCCAAATCAGATCGGCAATTCTCTGCCATTCATTTATCCCTCGGCTCTGCTGTTGTCGCCGCCAAGGAACGGTTTGGCGATCTGAACGATCCACAAGCAGCCGTCAACGCCATCTTTGAGGATGTCGTGTTCTGGAT